CGAACCACTCCACAGCGCTCTCCGCTCCGCTCCGCACCGCTCCACATCGTGCATCGACTTCGCACCGCAGCACTCCACAACAGCACTCCGCGTCCCTGTCCTCCGCGGCCACACGAAGCTCCACAGGGCGCACGCAGCTCGCCCACCCACAGCGCACCGCAACCGCGTCCTCGTCCGCCGAAATGTCGCTCCCGGTGAACGCACTCGCCGCGGCGCACTTCCTGTTCGGCATCTACTACGCCATGGCGTTCGTCGCCTTCCCCGACGGCGTCATGCCAGACGCCCTGCGCGGCATCGGCTGGAAGAAGTACCTCACCTTCTGGAACATGGTGAGCGCCCCCTCCCCCCCCTGCTCACCCCGTCGCTCTCGTGTGATCTGTTGGGTTGTGTGCGGGGAAATGTGTCGATATTTTTAAAAAAAAGGAAGAAGAAAAAAACGTTTTGGCGAGTCTTTCAGAAAATGTTTGTTTTACTTTCTTGCTACGAAGTGGAGAGAAAGTTATGTAATGCTGCGCTTTTACTTCAATTATACTTCTTGCTGCACTTTGCTCAATTGAAATAATCATTCCTACACCAGCCAAAGCTCTGCTTTCTCCAGTATAAAAGACGCTTCCTTGCAAAAATGCATCTGTCAGATTCAGCATAACACGTAAATAATTTAGAGTATGAAGCTTTCACTCGTGCAACTCGTAAATACGTAATAGTCATGCTTAATATACTAATACTAAACCAATAACTATTTCACGTAGAACACATCTGTGCATTTATACCTTTTTTCGACAATATCAAACACCCATCAACAAAAGGTCGTTTTCCAAAAATTCATACATGAATAACTAAATTTCTCTCTTGTACACGTTATACATTCACGCGTAGGTGCAATTAAAATCAATCTCCTAATTAATTTTATAAATAAAGTGAAGAAAAACAGACAGAATCATTCTTAAATATGAACATTTCGGACAGAGAATTCTGTGTAAAATCAACAAACAGTCCTCACGTATTCCCAGATACGCAATTCTGTGCATTGATGAACTCAATCGTAGATCTGTCATCCTCTAGTGACACGCAGCTAAACTAATGAACATTGATGCACTCTTGAATCTGTGATGTAATGCTAGGCGAAAAAGTAAAAAACATATCATTTTGTGAATATTTTACAGTTTATGGTTATAAAGAATCGGATCACATTATAACGCAATTCCCTTGTATTACCATATATTAGTACAGATAGACATAGGTCAATGTACTTCTGTCTGTCTTGAAAAATATTTCCATCCGATAAGTAAGTAAGGAGTAGGGGTAGGAGAAGGATAGGACCGTGGCCCGTTTGTTAGGGTGAGTATTTGTTAGAGGCGGCATTCGCCAGGTGTTGATGGGCGAAACTTCGATAAACTACCGATCAGAGAGAGGGTGAGGAGTGGGGCAGGGCGGGTGCAGCTAGGTCGAGGCTGAACGGTGCATCGCGGGTTGGCTGCTGTAAATGAAAGATGTTCCAAAGCACACTTCATGTAATCTTTTTCTCGGCTGAAGTAGACCAACGGGAAAGCAGCCAATTCTGCAACATCGTTGAATCGTTGATCGCTAGTGTTAGTGTTCCAACATGATTGATTAGTTGATTACTTGTTATTCTGAGCTTAAGTAATGAGTTCCGTAAGTGTAGTGCATGCTTTATAACGAGAGGTGGCGGTGTTCTTGCCAAGCTAGATGGCGAGATCCGGCTCCGACTTATAGTTAGCTAGCTGGGTTTTCTCCATCCAGGTATCTCTCGAGGGTAGCGCCCGAGTAGGGAAAAAGTTTATTCCGGGGGGTGGCTGGAATTGAATCCTTGGACCTGCCGGTTGTAGACGCTGCAGGGCCACAGCTGTAGCCCTGAGCCATCTCAGTCGGTTCGATACTGGAGGGTTTTCGACGCTAGCTGCATATCTGGGTTCACTTTTACCACTGTGTGGAGAATTCTAGCGGCCGGCTACTCCGATCTGTAGTTTTTCCAACCAACACCAGACTAATGCCGGAGGAGTATCCTAACAAACGGGCCACAGACCGTGCGCGATCATTCATTCCTCTTCCTTGTCCTATCCTCCCCTTTCCTTACACACACTTACATACACTACACTATCGCACTTTTTGGGAGACCATTAGGGAGCTTAGAGCGTATCTCGATTGGGGGAACCCCATTGGCGAGAGATCCCTGGTTGAGGAAAATCCCCACAAGAACAAGTACAGGTCGGCGCCGGATCTGATCATCCAATGAGGAAAGATCACCGCCATCTTCCGTGATGAGTACACGCACTTGACTTACGGGACTAATGACTTTAGAGTTGACGAATCCGGAATCACTGATCAATAAACCAATCTGAAGCTATATGGCGTTGCTTTTGCGCAGATACCAGTGTTTTAGACTAAATGTTACAAACCTCTCAGTCACGTGGAAGTTGCGAATATGATAACATTCTCCCAATGAACACCAAGTGACAAATTTCATATAACAGGGTTACATGCACTTATACTTTTGGCATTTCCCCCTGATTTTTAAGCAACTCCATAAATACAGATGTTGAGCATATTACGTTCCGACGTAATCAAGGGGATAATATGTACCTGGCCAACATCTGTGCATGCAATTGTGTTGGAGGGAGACTGGTGTAAAGCAAACGGTCGCCTTAGAAATACCTCCTTTCTCTGCTAGTTGATGTAAGGAGCGTAGCGAAATTTGCGTGGTCAGACGGAAGAGCAGGCCTCATGGCCTGAGTCTCGCCACGTAAAATAAGGCATCAATTCAATTCAATTCGTTTTATTCTCGGTCGTTTCTTTTCGTGACTCTGTCCTATTAATACAGCAGTCCCTCAACATTCGCAGGAAACATCGCGAATGTCAAATTGGCGAATGTCGGGTCTATCGTTTAGTGACGACAGGTGGGTTATGTTCTTGGATACAAAAAGCTGTTTAAAAAAGAAAGAAAAAAAGTTTATGACAAACATGCGATAGAACTGAGTAAGCGCTGCTACAAACTGAATTTACAATTAACATCCAAAGAGAAGAAATAAAACAATATCGGAAACTTATTTCAAAGTTCAGTGTTTGGATATTGGATTTTGTCATCATCCCCCTTGTCGTTCTAATATCCGATTATTGAAGGGTTTCTGCTTCTATTCCTCGCTTAAATTCTGAAGTTATTTTCTTGTTCGATGAAATTCGAATGCCTTCCAGCGAAGCTTGTTGAAGTTTTTTAGAACGCCATTAACCGTTTTTAAGTTGCTCCAGGACGCAGTTTTGCTTCCGCATTACGTTCGAGGAGGTTTTCTTTGCTGATGGTTTCCCGAAGCCCCTCTTCAGTGAGGTCATTATAATGAGAGTTGCACAGATCCTGAATGACTTCTGTTCATATGTCCAAAACCCTTAGATCAAATTTGATGCAACTGAATTTAATTAATTTAAAATTTGGTTATTCTATTAATGTGAATCGACATTCCAACTTCGACATTTTTGCAGAACGTGTTACTATCAGCTCTGGAGTCTGCGAAGTTCGCTTCCCAGATAATGTTTATAAAATAAATGAAATGTGCTCGCTTCAAAAAAAGTAGAACGAACAAAAGACGCACTCGTGAATGTTGAAGTCGCGAATGTTAAAAACGGTAGTATTTCTCTAATTGCGAATGCTTGGAACTCGCGAATAGCGAATTCGCGGATGTCGAGGCATTACTGTATATCTGCATAACGCGCCCCAAGAGAACCCGGAGGAATGAAAATGTAATCTTAATGACCGCTGGCCGTTAAGGGACCACGTGATCTTCAAACTATTCATTAAACTTCGAAAACAAATGACAAACAGCATAACTAACGTACGCAAGCAAATGGCATAGAAAATTAACATAGTTTATTCTTATTTTTAACTTATAATTTCTCATTGTACTGTCTTACGCTTTTATTGGCGTTTCCTCTTGTCAGCGGTTGCCTCTTTATTTTGCTCTTGCAGCTTGGTCAATCCGCTCATAGGTAGTCGTCCATTCTTTCATGCATGGCTTCAACTATTCCTGAATTCCAATTTTTACGGAGCCTTCCTCTTTTCATTCTTCTTGGAGGAGACCAATTGAGGACACTCTTAGGTTATCTTGAATCTGACATTCTTCTCAGATGGCCATACCATAGCAGTGGTTTACGTCTTAATCTGTTCACAGCAGACTCAGTTTACTACATCCGTTCCTTGATCTCTATGTTTTTTATTTTTTGCATTCTAGAAATTCGGCAGCTCGTTCGTAGTCCATCCATTTCTACTGCACATAATTTCTGCTTCTGACGTTCCGTCAGGGTTCAGTTCCCTCCACCATAGGTTATATTATTTTCAACAATAGTGCTTACAATAATATATTTCGTTCTTACGTGAATTTCCCGATAATACCCCATTCAACATTGTTATATCTTTTCATGTCTGTTTAATGCGGTCATCAATATCCTTTTCACTGTTTCCAGTTTTGTGTAGGATTGCACCTAAGTACTTCAAAAGTTCAACTAAATTAAATCTTCCTACTCCTTGATCTCCCAAATCAGATCTGAATTTTGGATGAACAATTATTGCAATTACTATTGCTAATTTCTAGTCCGTCATAAAAAATCGAAGGTGCTGACGCCAACGTACTTGTTGACGCCACGTGTGTACGCCACGTCGATGTTGACTACTGAATAACTGTTTAGAAATTTTAATTTTTTTCGATACTTATTGTTCAATAGATGCTTCTGCTACTGACGAGGACACCCAACCACCAAATGTTTTCAATGAGTCCAGATCGCCACCGTTTTCGACTAGCATTGTTTTCCGAGTCTGTAACATTCGGATGTTACTTGCTAAATAAAATTTCTTAAGTGAAACGTAAAAATGAAAAATGTAGAATATTAACTTTAATAAGCCAATATTTTCGTTAACGAGTAAACATAGTTTCAACTGAGAATAGTTTCATAGTTTCTGTTGAGAATTTTGTTCACAACAATGTGAGAAGAGTACGTCTCATATCTTTGGTAAACGCCAGCACAACTGTTTAATTTTCTTTGTTAATATTCTAACTTTGACGCAAATGTTAAGAATCTTGATATTATTTTTCATACCTTATCTTGGTTTTGACGGGTAACAAGGCTAAACTTGCACAACTTGCAATTTCTAAAACATCGTCTGGAATATCCTTCACCTGAAAATGTGGAACATACATGTTTAAATTGTGTATAAATAAAGTTATCGCGTCTCCTGTGAGAGTCGAATCAAAAGGAAAGCTTGTCGCGACTGGTGCATCAGATAATCGATCAAATTGAAAGGTGAAAATGGCGTTGTACTCGTACGGATTAAAAACAAAGATATTTCTTATTTATATTATTTTTCTTATAGTAATATTTTATTACAAAAAATATCGAACGACCCACGGATAACACAAATGACATACTTGGTTGGTTATAAACTTCGGCTGTCGCCTGGGTTTCAAACTTCTTCGCGTCTGTTATTTGGTGTCTATCGGCCTCATGACGTTAATAACTATTACCGAACGATGCCGATCTCCTATGTCAGCCTCGTAGTCAGAGAGAGCCCAGTGATGCGTCTTGACTTTAACTTCAATCTCTCAGCGGCTGCTGACAAGTAACTCACCCGACGTCACTGAATACAGATCCTCTGATTCTTCGTGATTCTTCTTACATCAATGAAATCTGTTAAAAATTAAAATCACGAAACGTTCAATTTCAGACTAAAAAAATACAGTTAACTATTTCTATCCGCAAAACTTCATTTCTGTGTATTGTATGGATTATAAGATTTTACAACTTCGTAGTGTGAAAATTTTACCTTCGAAAACCTTTCTTGTTCTGTCGCAAACTGTCTCAAAACATTAAGACACAAGTTTCATTAATTATATGTCAAATTATTTACGCGCACATACGAATATGAGGTTGTCCCTGCGTATATACCAGCTCTTCCCACCAACTTTTGGTGAGCATTCTTGCTCGTTCACCGGCCAACTTTACACTTTTCTGTCCTTCAACAGGTATTTCCTATACGTGGGAGGTCAACTTTTTTAACAAATACGCCTTGAGTAAAACAGAATAACAACCTTATTAATTCTTTACGTAACATTCAGGTTATGAAACGAGTACATAATGTGGCGAAAATGTTTTTAGTAATGAAAAAGAATCGTGGAGGGAAAGAAATATTATGAAGCTTTTTAACTGGTGGGTAGGTCTACCACAGCAAGCTTTCATTTTCATATCTAAGAACCTTTCCTTTTTTTATTCAACGAATATTTACAATCTATATCAAAGATGAAATAATCATTCAATACTATCATTATTCAGTAGTAATTAATGATATAAAATCAAATCTGCGGAAATAGGAGAGACGGATCGTATGGCGCACGAGCTGCTAGAAAACGCTTGAAATGAAACTATGGCTTGTGCCTCAACAATGAAATGTTCATTATACATTTCCAGATGGAATAATACTTACACCATATTAAAATTGTAACAGTCATTTAATTTTTTCTTATTATGAAATGTATTAAACTAGAACATATTCATCAGGGTAGGCACTGATGCCTTGCCTATCTTGCGTACCTTGCCTACCCGAAGGATCCGTGTCTAGGGAGAGAGATGTAGTGAGGAAATTCTATTGAGACGAGAAATTTCGTGGTTATTATCAAGTAGGTTTAGAGCTAGATGATTGTCATGCATTTCCAGGCGTTGGTGATATTTCTTGAATCTTTACTTGAACTGTTGGAATGTTGAGATCTCGTAAACTCATTCCTTGTGATTTTTGCTGCGCCAACAACTGCCGCCGTCACAGCCTCCGTGGCTGCCACGGTTTCCGAAGTTTCTAGTCAAAGTACATTATTGAATGTATGAATAACTACGGTGTAACTTGACCTTTTATTATATTCCACGTACATCTTGTTAACTTCATTAAATTGGTCAAATATCGTGGATTCAATAGAATTTCGCTGAGGTACATACTATCTAATGCAGGTTCGGTGGAATAACGGTTAGCGCATCGGGAGTTGTTCCCAAGTTTGCGAATTCATTTCTGATCGAAACCGTGGATTTGGAAAGGTGAAAAAATCCTACGCCCTTCTTTGGAGGGAAGTAAATCCGGCTGTCCCATGTTGCAGATTTACTGCATGTAAAAGATCCGCAAGCCTAAAAGAAGCCTTTGAGCTAAATTCAAAATCCGTTTCGTCGCGCGACAAATATCTTCTTCTCCGCTTCTCCTATAGATGGTGAAAGGAGCGTAGCGAAATTGGCGTGGTCAGACGGAAGAGAGGGCCTGATGAAGGACACTAACAATTGATGCCCCCCTCCAATTTTACATGCTAGAAACGCCATTGCCAGAACGCGTAGGTGAATGAGAATTTCTATATCCGACGAAGGCAAGTTTTCTAGACCCATTAAGTAGCTTCATCAGACGATGCCACTGCTTAGAGGAGAAAACATTAAAGAGCAATCTTGAGTTTAATTCACGCCGAGGTGGATCATTTCCTGTTTCTACTGACCAATATCTGGCAAATTTCGAAGTCATATACGTATACTTTAACAACGGGTCGCAGATCACGTGAACTTTGCTCTTCTATTATTTATTTTCTTGTAATATTGTCAGATTCGTCTCAGATCACCATTCCTCATAACATACGATGCATTTGTTTACTTTCACAATAAATAAATAAATAATGAGGAATTGGTCTTAAAATGGGAATGGTAGATTACCACCCATTTACCGATGATATTATAGGAAAGGGTTTCTTCTATACTTCAAACTACTACTACAAATGGTATTGTTTTTATACTACAAGTATTGCATTGTATTAGTAACGCATATTATTATTGTATTAGTTCACGCAGACGACCATATCAGCACAAGACTCGAAATATGGGAAGATAGAAACCGCAATATTAGATCAAAATACTACGAATAGTAGCAAATAATACAAATAAATCCAGCAATTACCTCTGCTATTGCTTCAATAAGCCTCCATTGACCTCAGACCCGAGGCTCAAAAATTGAAGTGCTTGAAGAGAATCTGACTTAAACGGAGCAAGTGTTGTGAAGCTTTCTTGAATGTAAGATTCATGTTTAAATATCGTGTACAATTAGCGATCGCAAAAAGCATAAAATAAATACATTTTTGATGGTATAACAATGGCTTTAATACAGATAGGAAATGTAGACCTTAATCAGCTCAGAGAGCGTTTCACTTTCATTAAATTTGAGTTGACCTGCTCATTGTAAACGTTGGCAAAAAAATGTACACCTTTCCTTGTTTCGTGACGACACATGAGCTTGGAGCTTCTGCTTTATTGTCCGTGCCGCAGGACACCGTCTGTCTATATTTTTAAGTCAAACAACTTTATGGAATGGAGACACGAAGGAATATCATAATCTATATTCCTCCATGATGGAGAACTGCATCAGTGAATTTTTGTTATTCACGGACTTCTGTATTTTAATTCAAAGTAAATAATTCGTAGTTGAACTTTATCATTTAAAAGGCCCGGAAAGGCATTTGTTTTCGGCGCGTAATTTAACCCTTGTTGCCAACTATCCATGCAAAATGAACGATGGGTACCAATAAGACATCCGCAGAAAACGAGATGCTGATTTATTTTTGTCGTGTTGTTAACTTATTAAAGCACCTAATTTATCTCAGTTTTTTATTGTTGCGACAAAAGGCGTAATAGAGAGTTGCGGATTAAGATATTTTCAACATATGTTAACTCGATCAAGTTGTTTAGTGACGTGGTGACCCGGTGTTGACAGCGACATTCAGTAGTGGGAGGAGGTGGGAAGTCTCGCTATTAATATGAGCGCGCAGGCATTACGGCTTGCCGCATTATTATTAGTTGGGGCAAGAGAGTATAGAGTGATTGGGGTTGCAGTGTTGTAGGATCCCAGGCTGCAAAGGCAGCTGTTGAGGTGAAGGAGAAACATTTTTATACATTCTGAGAATGGGAAGCCCTCGACAGAATCGTCAGGAATCGAAAGATGATCTCGTTCTCCTTTTGAGAACTTGTGCACATATCATCGGTGCAATACAATTTTCTTTTAGCGTGTATTATGACTGGAATCATGTGAAAATACCCAGGGAGGCTAGTCCAATGGGTTCTGGCTTTGGTGGCAAACTAAAGTTTCTGACGTTCTGGGATGCGGTTGGTATATCAACGGCATTTTTGTGACACTTGTGCTCATGTGTTTTCAACCGATTGTTATTAATCTTCACTTCTGTTTCAGTGCTTGCAATCGCTGTACTTCACAATTTGTGTTTTAAATGACATTGCCGGAAGCAATGAAATTGCACCGAAGAACCCGCCACTAATTAGAAGAATCAAAGATTATATGCTCTGCACGGTCGCGTTTCCTGTGTCAATGGTTTGTAAACATTTTCTTGTCTTAAACATAAAAACTGTGAGTGAACTAGTACCTGACAAATCTGTTCTGGCTAATCTGTTTCAGTTCGTTGGTTTGACGTTTTGGGGCCTTTATGCAATTGATCGAGAGCTAGTTTTCCCCAAAGCTCTAGATCCTTACTTTCCTAGTTGGCTGAATCATGTGATGCACACCAATATAATGATTTTTATAGTTCTTGAAATGGTGTTGTCCTTCCGTAAATATCCTACACGTGGGAATGGAACAGGAGGACTAACTGCCTTTATGTGTGTTTATCTCGTGTGGTGAGTAACCCTGGGTATACATTCATTTAAAAGTTCAAAATCCAGCAAGAAGGGTAAACTAGTCTTAACATAACTTATTTTTGCAGGACATTCATAATTTACTTCTACTCTGGTGCTTGGGTGTATCCAGTTTTGGAAGTTCTGAACTGGGGGCAACGGGCTATATTCTTTATTGTGTTACTTCTCTTTGTTAACGCGCTGTACTTTGTGGGAGAGTTTGTCAACAAAACTATTTGGGGTGAGTATTTCTACTAAATCAGAAATGTGCTGGGTATTCTGGTAATTTTATGTTCATAAAACATTATTAAGTAATTAGTTTCATTTTCTTGTTTGTTTGCTTGCTTGCATAGCACTATTATGTAGAAATAAAAGCTAGGATCATGAGATTGCCCTAAGTGGCATTTGTGACTCAATCCAATTAAGCTCGTTTGTGACACCCAAGTGTGTGCATTCTCTGCCAATTGGTGGGGATCCCTCCTCACTTGAGTCAAGTGGTTAGGGGGAAGGGAGGGGCAGCTGCCTCAAATGCTCTTCACTTGCATTATGTAATGAACAACTGCCCCACTCGCTCTATAATTAGCTGTACGACCCTATTGGAATGATGGGTGGATGCTGGTGACATCAGAAGAGTAGACAGTCAAAAATTATGCCAAACAAATGTTAGAAATCATATAAAACTTGCAATTCTGCTTGAAACTTCATATTTATTTGAAAAACATTTCATTGCAAAATATTTTTAATTATTGTACCAACGTTCTTTCAGAAATATGAGGCCTAAGTTGGAAAATGTAGGTTAAAATGTTTTGTTAAATTGTGATTGCTTATTTCACAAATTAATTGTTGTTTTTCACTTATTCATTTTCTTGGTCCTTTTTATGTTTTTTTTTTTTTGGGGATTGCTGAAAAGTTCACAGGTCATTGCATTGTATAATCTTGGCACAAGATCAAGGTTATCTTCCATGCTTAAATGACACACCTTGAAGTTACCGTTTAATCTTATTCCTTCATTCATTTGATTTCTGAATAAAAATTAGAATTATCATTAAAAGGACATTTCATTTTATGTACTTCTGATTATTAAGAGACATTAGACACATTGTTATGTTGTTTTTAATTATTTTAACATTTCATTTTCAGGAAAAGAGTTGAGGCAACTGGAAAGAGCTGGTTCGCATAAAAGGAGCAATTAAAGTGCTATCTTTAATCGCTTTGTGATATTATGCATATCACATCTTTTTAAGTACAAGAATATTTCTTAAATTGTTTATATTTTATGAACAGTGTGTGCAGAATTAAGTGTACTCTTTGTTGTGTATATGACATTTACTTTTACAAGAATTTGTTTTACTTATGTATGCAGGATTATATTATTTTGTTGTGCACAAGAAAACTGCCTAAAATGTTATGTTACTTCTTTTATTTTCCACAGTGTGGAAGTAAAATGTTTTTTTTTAACTGCCTGCATCTGTTGTATCTAATTCCTGAAGCAATAAGTCTTGTACCTTATATTTAGGTCAAATGAAGTCCAAAGATTCAAACATGACCTATGAATGTGATAAAACTGATCATTTTTGTCACTTCTTCTAAAGTTTGCTGCAAGAATATAGAAATTAGTTCTTAGGGTTAATAATTAAAAAATTTTTAGAAGACGACTTGCTAATTAATTGTTCAGACCAGTTTTTCCTAACTATTTCATATAGAAACTTTTGAATCCTGGTACCTGCCATAGGCTGAGTGGCCTTTTAAATTCAGACTTGCCTTTACATAAAGTTGCGAGTTTTAAATAGTTACTGCTAGTATTAAGCTATGCTAAAATATAACGCATAAGAAATATTTGTAATCCTAAAATTTAATATTGAATTGGTTTTGTTGTACATTAATATTTACTCGAATTCAGTAGATAAAATTCAATTTTTGTTGTTTCTTAACTTTCAAAGTAAAGTACACATCTAATGATCTTAAAAGTATTAAAAAAAATAATTAGATCTCATTACATTTTTCTGTAGAAGAAAATTTTATTTCAACTTTCTTACGAAAGTTTGCAATTGAGAAAAATGTTTAATATGTGCTAGTATCAATATACTAGTACTTTTGACCATTTTTTCCTGTGAAGCTTTAACAATGTTCATAACTGAATATGCTTTCAACAGTTGTTTAGTTTCATATCTAATACATTTTGGCCTAATTGTTAAAAGGTTGTTGGTTGAAAAATTGCAGCCTACACTACAGTAGTACTTAGGTATTGATACTATGAAATTGTTTACAAAATTCTTGGCATTTTTACTAGTGTAGCATGTATGGAATACAAATCTTTAAAATTAAAAGAATTTGCACTTGATTAGAATTTGCAATTGAACATGTTTAAAATGATATGACAATCATGGTAGCTTTGTGTTGTCTTGTATGTTGAAGACAATAAGTATTTTATATGTTGTTTTTATGTAGTTGATAATGAAGTGTGTATTATGAGAGTGCCCTGCAGGATTCAGGAGGTAGCTTTCATTTATGTCAGTGGTGAACAGGCAGTAAATTCTGTATCTTTAAATAGTTTAATTGTTAATACACTTATTGTGAAAGTTCAGAAACAAGTTTGAAATTGTTGCCTCTACGAGCCAGGAGTGTGAAAATGTAAATGGAAAAACTTGGGCAAATGATGTGATAAACTGATTTATTCACAAGAATAATTTGACAATTATTCACATCTATTGCTACATAGTCCAGAAACTGATGTATATGTAAGTTAAGCATCAATTGTGTAGAAATAAGGACATTTATTTTGTTATTGCTATGTATATTGCAGAACTGTATTGTTAATAAGTTTTGTAAATAAGAATATTTGTGTTTTTGATGTTGAATCAGTAAACATCAGTCAACAAATGAAAGTATGTTTCATTTATTAACTACTCAAAAATGTTTTCATAGCAGTCTATGAAAGCTTGACATGCAATTTAAGTTATGACTAACAGTTCAGCCAATAAAGCCTCCTTACAAAATATAAATTGTCTCACTCTTACTGAACCAAAGTTTACAAGAATATTAAAATTAACCTCTCAAAATGCTTTCAATAAAAAAAAAAAACACTTTCATATCAATGCATTGCCTATGAAAAAGTCTGGCAATACTTCTAGAAATAGCCTAGAAGAGTAAAACAACAGTGACTTGCCATAACACGGTGCTTTCTTTTTTTTTGTCAAGTTTGTTTTCAATACAACACTACATTGAAAGTACCATTTAAAAATAATTTACGACAGCAATTTTTGAACGATTTAAGAGATTTATTTAAGAATACATGATATCAAAAGATTGGAAGTTTGGTCAATGAAGATCACAAAGGCTTGAAACAAAGAATGAAATAGAGGAAGGAGAGAAGAAATTGGTTTCTCTCATTGACAGACAAAAAAGAGAGACCCAACAACAGCATCGAAGCATAAACAAGATTACACCATGATATGTTAATAAACTTCAATGGCATAGCCCAATTCTAGTGATCCATTAAAGAAATGGTTAGATTAGGACCACTAAAACTAAAAACCCACCAGGTCTATAGAAGACGGGTACAGGAAATAAGCCAAACCGCAGTAGATTATGAATTTTTAAATTTTCTACAACAAAAATAAAAAGGAACAGCTCATCTTAATTTTAACTCAATTTTTCAATTTTGTGCAAGTGTTATTCGTTGAGAGGATGAAAGATAAAAGTTTAATGTAATAATTTCAATGATTGAAATTTTTAAAAATATTTCCCTGAAAAATGAATTAAAAATAAACATGCTGGCAATTGAGCTAAGGATTTCTTCAAAATATTAGTTTTTTACTGTGTATTCTAGTAATCTACTCAATTACAAATAGCATTGTCTACAAAAGGGTTTCAGGTTTCTTTTTTTTTCTCCCTTTCCCTAACACATATTCAATGATATAATTCATTTTCTGGACTGTAATAAACAAGGACTAGCAGAAATAAGTACTCTTCTTCCAGATGGAGGAAAATGTTATAACAAAAGGTTGTGGGTATCAGGTAAGATAAATTAGCTTCTAAGAGCAGGAGAATGACAAATCAATAAAACATATATACTTATAAAGTGTTTACATTCATTTTTCAGTCAAAGACAGAAAGTAGCACAATTTACTTATACAATTTTGCAAGAAGTTCTCTTCAGAAATTATTATTCTACCAAATTCCACTTTATATAATGGAATAGCTACCTTAGATAACTTGCCATACATTCTAGATTACAGCATTAAACTACACTCTAAAGTACAACTGTTCTTGCAAATAATCAAATTCAGAAAACGTTCGTCCCGTCCCGTCCCGTCCCTCAAATGAAAAGTTCACTTCATGTATAAAATAAAGTATGGACACTAAAGCCAATTAACAGAGGGTCAAAGAAGTATACATGAAAAAGTCTGGATGGTATTATTTGTCAGTGTTATTATATTACCTGACACTGATTTGCAAATTATTGCGAATGATTTGTAGTGTTTCCTCATAGCTGATATATTTCGGATTGAATAAATAGGATTGTGTAAGTACCACAATCACTTTTGAGTATACTTCGGATTATTTTTCATACATGAAATAAGAAATATTTGATTCACTGTTTCATAAATGGAGAGAAATGAGGTCAAATTGTAAACTTCAAATGTATTGAAGTTAAGTATTAAAACATTAAACTTGAAAACAACACACACTCCAATTAGAAATTACCACTTCTTTTGTTTATCCTCATGAGATTCAATAAAGAGCAACAACTTTGCAACAGATAATGTGATGAGAGTGCAAATAGAATATGAAAAATAAGTCAATAAATACATATAAAAAATAAAAGTTGGCCTGAAAAATAGGGAAACAAAGAAAAAATCTCACAGGCATATTTAAAAAGGCAAATAACTCATTCACAATTGAACCCAATAAATTAAAATGACAGATGCATGTCAAAGCTAATTAAAAAGAGTATTTAAAAACTTGGCAGGATGCACAGCAAGGCAATTTTTTAACAGTTGCTCACCCATTTAAGTAGTCATAAATACTGTAAAAAATATTTCAATACAAGATACACATATTCTTTTGTACAAACTACATTTATGAGTCTATTTTATAAAGTATAAGGTACTTGATTCTGTTTGATACACAAAAATATATACACAAAATGCATATCTTAAAAGATAATATACGTTTTAAAGGCATTGTAACCTCACTACATCAAAGATGTATGAACTCAGTCTTAAAAGAGTATTGAAGTTACGAAAGTGTGGTGCTGCCAAAAACATTTAGCTGCCTTAGGTAAAATCTTTTTGGTCGCTGACAACACAATTTGAATTGCCTTATAATAAATGCTGTATAAATTCTATAAAAGATGGCACCGAATAATAAAATCACATATATACAATTTTACTCTTGTCTTACACAATTTACATCACTATGCAGGTACAAAATATCCTTCTATTTTGTCTTCCGCACTCCTACTTCTGTAACCATTTCGTTTCAAAGCTGCATTTCGTTGTTGGGTTTGCACTGGAACAAAATTCAAACGACCATGCCCTTCGGTCAATTCCTCAACCAGTTTCTGTAAGGTGTACTGGTAATCAAAGCCAGGCACATTTAATTTCTCGTTGTAAGGTGCTGCACTATACATGAATGGTCTTTCAAGGTTCGATGGTGCTAAAAGTGATGGTGAAACCTGCACTCCTTGGCTTACAAATTGTGGAGCTTTGGGTTGTGTGAGGAGTTCTTCTGCCTCTAGATCTTCTAAGCTTGCTGAAGTCTGGGTCGCTATTTCTTGCGGACTAACCTGTACTGCAACATCGCTACATTCAAAGTGGGGCCCAACTCCTACGGTACGAACTCGACCGCCACCGAGAGTGTGATGAGTAAACACTGACGCCCCTGAATTGGCGCCCATTAGTCGCATGAGTTCAGGGCAAAATGACGATGATTCTGACAAGGCTGTAATATCCACAGAGAAATCCTTGGAACATTGTAGAGAGCATTCTTTTGTACACTTATTATCTTCTTCAATTTCAGAATCTTCTGACTGGTAATTTTGAATTTCTTCAAGTTTTCGCTTATGGCCACTTCTTCTACCTTCACTTTCAGCATTCCTACTAAGCTTTTCCTCAGAGTTCTCAGGCCTCTGGATAGCTTGCTTGCTGCTTCTATGTTCAGCACTATTTCTACTTTGGCTTTTTTCACTAGTTTTGCTTTTCCTACTGCCTTCACGCACCTGACCACCTGTTTTGTATCCACTATCATTCCGGACTGAAGGGATACTCTTCTGTGAGGTTTCTTTCTCCACAGGTAGCTGAATAACTTCTGGTAAAAAGCAGTCGTCTTCTTTTGGCTCAGCAGCTATTTCTTCTTCTTCTTCTTTGTCTTTATTTTTGGGTTCATGATGGTGGGTTATTTGCTTTAATTCAGTCATCTCTTGAGCAGGTTTTTGAGCTTCATTATTACTATCATCACTAAGGTCTAAGCTGTGGCCAGGAAACATAAAAGGTACAGGAAAATTTAATCCATTTGTACCAGTTATTCCAGTTCTACGTGACAAGTTGGGTATATTTGGTATGCTGGGTGTCAGAGATGGAAAAAGTGGCATGTTGAAAGGCAACGCGTTGGAAATCTGAAATGGCAAAAGTAAATAATAATATTAGCAAGACCTAAGGTATTTTACAAAAAATGTCTTGAGCATGTTTTATTAAAACAACATCACAAAAGAAATTAAATGATTTTTTCTAAAATCCTATTTTTGATATCAAGAATAAAATAGCTCAATCCCTGCAATTACACTGGACAAAACAAAGAGCTACAGAAATATCACAATAGAAAATTACTACTTTGACACAATACAGAAAAACAATAACACCCAAACTGTTTTCTTGTAGTTCTGTACTTATGTTTACCAAAACTAATGAAATGAGAGAGGTTTACAAATTCTGGAGCAATATCATTGAGTGAAAGAGAGTTAAATATATTTTTGAAAATAAAATTGTAATGTTTCATATTTACTGTATTTTCCAAGATCTGTTCATTAAAGTCAGTCCTTAAAAACATACCCATCACAAATAATTTATGATAATCAAAAAATGTTCATAAAGGCACAAGAATGTTAGATGATTGCCAGACATGGTACTTACACAACTTACAAATATTTTCATTTAAAACAATTTTAGAACTTAAAAATCTTCAGTTTGCAAATTGTAACTTCATGGTGCACAGATATACTACCAAAACCAAATACAATTGTACTGAAAATGATGTAATGAACAAATGATGGCAGATGTGTATTCATTCTATTAATTTTAATATATTATTAAAATTCAGACTTTTTACTACAAAATCAGTACTACATTTCATTTAAAGAAAAATACTGAAATTTCTTCCTAAACAAAACTCTTGATGTTTTAAATACATTTAACACAATAGCACAAAAATGTCCACGAAGGTCCTTCCTTCTGAGAAGGAATAATTTAAGTCTTTGCAATTGCTTAATTATGGCATTAATGGAACAGTTAATTTCAGCAAAATGAAGAATTTTTCCTAATACCTATTATAAACTCTTAAAATATTAATCTTTGCAATTATTGAAACAGCTGATGAGGAATAGTGGCAGAATCTGAGGGAAGCCACGTTGGCCAATTACGAAGTAAAAGTTCTAAAAATAATGGTAAAAATAGACCTAGAAGAGCTTATTATGAATATATCAAAGTTCAAGAATTGACATTCAATATTATTGCAATTTACTCCATGGCTCTGAAGTAATTATAATGCTGAGAAGTAAAACAATGTTTTATTTTGGTATCGTGAAACCTGTTTAAGATGGAACCTCTATAATATGGAAACCTGTCATCCCGGAGAAAAAAAAATCTCAAAACAGAACCGGAAACCTGTCTAACACAAGTTTTTAGAGATCATAAAGTGATTTATTACCCGGCTAAAAAGGAAATTCATTTTTAAATTTCTTGGTCTCTCGTTGGAATGGCATAGTGCAAAGTGACACAACCTCAGACAAAAGAGTGAACACAAGTTTTTCCTCTTATACCTAGTGGCAGGAAATCATAGGAAACTAGGTAACTCTTTCACTGCCACTTTCTCATGCTCTGGCGTGAATTCCAAGATCACAACAAATGGACTTCGTCACAGTCGCTCTGAATCCTAAATATTGGTTGACCACATACTGTTGTCACAAGTGTTACCATGTTTCCTTGAATTCCAGGAAGGCTCTATAGTCATCCTAGCCGAGCAGTTGTAGAGTTGGCCGAGGTGCTTACCACACAATTTAGTGAATGCTCGCAGTATAGTGTAGGCAAGCTGTGTGCTAGTGTATGAAAATGTCTTTACAAAGTACAAGCAAAACCCATCTGCTACAGAAGAAAATGTGGAATAAATAGGTCTCCCTTATTTTCCGTGTTTCGCTGTTGATATTTTATTTGCAGCAACATATTTATTAATAAATTACGCTTTGCTTTCTTTATTTTGTTTCACTAACAAAATTATATTGAAACCAGTGTACTTAACTTATAAGTTGATTTTTTGGCAATTCTCGATAAATCCGTCAAAATGTAAATATAATGAAGGAACTGTCTGGGACTGTCTTAGGCAGGTTTTACTGTATTATGATGGAGTTATCAATTTACCTGGCCAAAATGACTGTCCTGAGATGTTGAGCTCTCGGTCCGCGAGAATGGCATAACGAGTGAACAATATTTCCTTCCAGAATCCTTCCGGCGGCGCTTTGGCTTATTCCGCCATCCGGACCTTGTAGACGTCACTGCTGATATCTTTACTGACACTTGAGAATCTATTGATGTGCGCCGAGATGAGAATCTGAAATCACAATTAAGAGGATAAGCTAACATTATTTTGCACAATGATACTGATGTTGTGGAAGAATTTGACTGAGATGTTGGGGTAGGGAACCAGGTATATTAATATGAGCCGTCCAGCATGTTTTGTGTTATTTCTGCAGTTTGTGTGATACTGCAGTGCTTTAATGATTGCTGTGTTACCATGCTTATTTCATGTCTGGAACAATATTTCAAGAATATGAGCTGGTTTGTGTAACTCCCCACATATTAGAAAGATGCCATTACAAATTTTCATTCCTGTCCATATACTTAACTTACTTCCCTATTTCTCTCCTAGAATTAGATTTACATATTTACATATCCAGTTTCCAAAGCAGTTGCTGATGTGTAAATTATCAAAGGCTTTTGTGAAATCAAGCTATATGATGCTTATTGTTTCCCGGTTATCCGCAGCTCTCATCCGGATGTTGAGAAGCAAGTACGGTTTGATACAGCAGAACGATCTCGGACAAATTCATGTTAAGATGAGATTATTTCTCTTCCCAAATTCCTGTATTCTCTAACTCTTTTCATGACCTTTCTTACCGTATTTGTCAGGCTGATCAGCTGGTAATTTTTTGGATTTCTACTATTTACCTTCATAAAAACAAGGCAACAACGGTGAGTTTCCATGAAGTTATCTTAGATGTACACTCAGACTGTTTGAAAATCATCTCGAGAATTGAGGCTGGTTGAGATGTATGTGTAGCACAGACTCTCAGTAAGATGTTTGAGATTTTGTCTGGCTGAACGTACATTCTAGTTCGTATTTCCATTGCTGAACATACATTCAAGTTCGTACGGATTTGTTCTATTTCAATTCCGTTAAGTTCAATGTTCGTTAGAATGGGGTTTGTTTCCAAATCTCATTGCTGTTTAAAGCAAGTTTAATTGTACAGTCTTCTTCAATCTCATTTGCAAAAAAATCCGCAATTCCTAAAGGTTCCTCTGCTATTTTTCCATTTTGTTTCTTTAGAACATCAACTATTAAAGAGAGCTGTCCTTGAATGTGGGAGTAGAATCGTGTCTCCTTGTTCTATGTTTTTCTCACAGGTTTTCCTCCAAATCATTTCAGACTGCCTATAAATTTTGTAGTCATTGTCACTTCCAGTCTTCTAGTACTGGACCCTAGACAGTTATTTCCTGGCTATTCTTTTAAATTCATAGTTTATTTTTGAATCACTGAGTTTTAGTTCTCATTTTCAGCAATGTTGCTTGTAGAATTGACATCAGCTTATGCACAAAATCGTTGTTAAGTGTTCATCAATAGCCATTGTTTTTCATGTTTCTTTCTTATGGTAGCTGGCATTCCAATTCATCATTTATAATTTCATAAGTGCCTCTGAATTAGCTGTTCTGTAATATAACTGACTTAGTGATCCACTTCAATTAACTCGAAACTGCATTTAGTTATGATCACTACTTCCAATTGCAGATCTTAGGATTGATGGTGTGATAATGTTTTTTTTAAAACCATGATATAATCCAGGATAGCTGGAGTGTGTCCCTCTGTATTTGGTACTCTGGCTCTTCCATCTTCTAATAAGGGTTGGTGTTAGGGAACATTCACTAACTCCTGTTGAATTTCCATTTTAGGCATTGGGCCTCTCTCATTCCAATTAATTATTAGTAAGTTAATCCAAGTCAAGGCTCCAAAAATCACTGTGATCTCTTTCTTTGTACTGTTTCAAGTATCTCGAAAAGTTTGAGATTGGTCTTTTGTGGTCTTAGATACAAAGTGGGTGGTCTTCAGATACCACCAACAATGAAATCAGTCCCTAGAGTAATTCTAAGCCACAATGCTTCTATCTCTGGATCTGCGAACTCCTCTATAATGGGCAATATAGAGCTAAACCCGTCAACCTTATTTCCCTGTTAGTATTCAACAGAGCCCGCTTCACCTCTTTTTTTACAGAATCTTTGGTAAGAATACAGAGTGTAACTGGAATCTGTAACAAAGAGTCAGTAATATAATCAGTTAAGCAAATAACGTGAAACTTTGGATTTTTAATTTGGTTTTTTTTCGGGGGGATTGACTCATATTTCTAAAAGAAACAGATCAGGTGTATCCATTAAAGACACTATTTGTATACATTATGTTGAGATTTGTGGCTGAATCTCTGCTTGCTGCTACCTCTTGTCATTCCATTGCTTTTTTAGTTACAACCTTTTAAATTCCCCTTATGAACTTAATAGTTAAGTTTGAGTTTGTTTTCTTGCTTTTCCTTCAGTTCATTTCTGAGTTCGTTGCTGTAGGGTCAGTGTCACATAGACCTTCACTTGCACTTCTGGTGGAAAGCGTTTTGCATTGAGAAGAATCTTCTTGACCAAGAGTTTGCTCAAAAGTATCATTTTCAGTGAGCTGAGGTGTCCGGTTCCTGCATTTCTTTCACCAAACCTAACAACATACTTGACATAGCCTTTTTTGAATTTGGATGAAAATCTTTCAAAGTAGCTGAAATTGTGTTGAGGTCTGCCTAGCTGCTGCATTACCTTCTTCTATATCTTTGATTCTACACATAAAATGTTTTATTTTCATTTCCATCTATCCTTTAACTCCCAGAAAATATCCTCAATTCAATATATTTTCTATTTTACCTTACATATCACTTTGCAAGTATGTTACAGTTTGGGATCAGATTCGGATTATTTCTCCTCAATTACTTCACATTTCTTTTTTGTCTCATCTGCATCCTTTTCAAATTTTTTAAGGTTAATTGAAACGTCACATTAGGCCTTATTTAGTTTACTAACCTCTTCTATAACAGAGCTTAAACCTTTCGTCTGCTTCTCAGATAAGAGTTTTCTCTCGTTACTCAAATTTTTTCTCTGTTCTCCTTTTAGGGCATTGATCAGAGTGCTCTCTGCATTTGTATCGCACAGTTTTGCTGGTCATTCTGCTTAACAATTCAGGATGGTGCTAGATGGTCTGTTGCAACACTGATATATATCAAAATTCCCTTTCATGACCCCCCCCCGAGGTTTTTATTCACTCTCTTTTATAGGTAACTTTCACGATAAGTTTTATGACAGAGTGGGCAATCAGCGTACACCATCCCCCCCCCCCCCCGGGAATATAAACTAAACAAGTAATGCTTCTCACTTTCAGCAGGCTCGTCCTTCAAGGATTAATGCAAATCACCTTAGTTTCCGTCGAAAAATGCGGGTACTAATTCTGAGTCAATGAGTTGCCGTGGTGGCTGGAGGCGGAGGTGTTCGTGCTGGTGGCGGATCCTCCAATGAGAGCTCCTCTTCGAGTCATCAAAGTGGGGAGAGCTGCAGCCCAGGTGGAACTGAAATCTAAGGACGCAATGCTGTTTACATCCAAATTCAGCCCTGCAAACAGAAGACAAGCACAGACTCAGGTATTTATTGTCATTACTGAAACATTCATTTACGAGGCACGTCCAGAAAATAAAGTATTAATGACTAGGATTCTTTTAGAAAAATATATATGAAAGAACCATACAACTCATCCTCCCTAACGAAGCAAGGGGGCGTTTTTAATCTGGTGTATCAAAGTGAGGTGTTGACTTGATATGAAGTTAATAGGATGTTTTTTTTGTTTATTATTTGTTTGTACAGTTTGCAAAGAGAAAATTGGGAAAATCTTGTTTGTTTAACTGTTTACTCCCAATTGTTTCATGAATAGGGATTATATTTCAACAACCTAAACAACACACAAGCTACAGATGTGATATCTTTAATGCCAAAATCGAAGTAGCTACTGAAGAAGAAAGAACTGCATTGCTGACTCAAAAACATAGAGACCATGCTACAGATTGGCAAGGCCACGAGGTGGCTCACTCAGTGCATCAACTGATGTCACTGCAGTGCCTCTGACTAAACGAATGAATCAACCAATTTTTTTTAGAAAATGGTCACACTTTGGGAACTTTGACTTAATCACTACTCACACAGCACATCACAGTATTGATATATATATATAGACACATTTTATCCTGAATACTATTAAATAAATTCCTTAATAAAGTTCATTAGAATATAAAATATGAAGTATATAAATATATAAATCTCAACACAAAATGTTCAATGTACTTACCTACAGGATCTTCGTGAGAACTATGAAAACTAATAGAGAGTCGTCCATCATTATTAAAAGTCTTCCAGTTGGCAAAGGCCTGAGCGATTGCTTTGTGTTTTTTCATTCGAACAGGCTCCTCCTTCTGGCTACATATGTTTCTGAATCAGGAGAAACTATTATTAAAGAACCACATATGAAAAAGGAAACAAGCTGTACAATATTGTAAAAATAAATAGAACGAATCTACTGGTAATATATTTATTAAAAATTATAAAGGAATGTTTCTCAATTATATTTTCTTATAGAAAGAACTTTAATATTTCTTAATTGACTACCTGTATTTATGGAAAATAATATGTAGCCATAATGGACACATGCATTTTTATTACAGAATACTAATAATAAAACTTCATTTTTTCAAATTTTGTACTGAAAATTAATACTACACGGTTGTTGCAAACTGCCAACCATACATAAATGTTGACTAGAATTAATCTCACTAAACAATCCACACAATACTTATAAAGCAAAAATTCAAACAATGACATCAATTATTCAAAGATAATCCTGTTCTTTCTACATTAATTATCTCAATTAACTTACAAAACTTCAAAAGAAATTACCTCCTCAAAAACCTCCTCCATGTTCGCAAAGTCGATCCTGTCCATACCCAGGAAGACATAACAATACCAGCACAAAAGAACACAAGAAGGTGCAGTTGAAACACGGATACACTAGGTCTCGCATCCAACCGGCACTGACGTGGGTCCATATGCGTGCTGCTCAATCCACTGCTTGCAGTAACCTTACATCTGCGTAACAAGTTAGCATGCTTAGTTACAAGACTAAAAGGATTTCGTGTTATGAATTTCAACACAAAACCGTAAATATTTATCAACTTTTATAAAATTACCCCTTTTCCCTTTTTATATTATTTTATCACTAAATGGTTTCCAAACAATTTATTAGAATTCAATTAAATGAATAATGTCAGATTGTAATGCTTCCCACGGTTTTAACTACGGATTTTAATAAAAGAAACAAATGTAGGAAATAAGATTTGGAAGTAAGAAGAGGGAAGGTCTGAATTGTGGCAACAAAAGAAAGGACCTTTAAACAAGAAATACCATCAATGGGTTTTTTCTAACTCAACTGATGTTGTGATTTTTCTAACTCTTCTACATATATTTGAAAGTAAGCTTCAACTGTGCAATAGAGATACCATTCCATGAATTTGTATGAACCATGTCAACATGAACAAAAATGACCACACACAAAAAAGCAAAATTGACTTATGATTATTTATGATGCAACTTACATAATAAGTTTCCTGAAGCTGTCTTTCCACTGCCTGTGATTCAGAAATTCATACACGTGGCAAATGAAGCTTGTAATTCCCAGCACCAACATAAATAATGAAAATACTGCAATTCTCACAATTGTTTTTTGAATTTTTGATGTCGCAAGCTCTGATACTATGTCTTGGCTGCTTATTTTCAGCATTATCAAAGTATACAGTACTACAACAAATAAATAAGACACAAATCTGTAGATTTAGGATTCACACAATATTTAACAATAAGTTTTATCAATACTTACAAAGTCATCCCAAAGAAGCGCACAAAAAAATGAGAAGATATATAAATTAATTTTGCCTTTCTCTACACATTTATGAATACTACCAAACATTTTTTATTGGCTGGCAAGTTTGAAAGAAAAATCTAGGTCTGTACATGCACTGACATTACTACCCTAAGTTTGCACAGTCCCTTCCCAAAGTAAAGAAATGCAGAAATCTAAAAACGTCTTCACAAATTTGTAAATATTTAATTTTATTTGCAAACACGGCTAAAAGAAAATCTAATCTTTACAAACTAATGAAGAATGTACTCCATTTGAGTAAAATAGCTCAAGCTGCTTCTAAGAATAATAAACAAATATCAATTACTAATTACATAATGTAAAATGTAATTGGTAATATATTAAGTAAGTCAATATAGCATCATTATCATTGAGTGTAATATTTTTTAAAATTTTATTCTGCAAAGTTAAGTAAAATACAAAACAAAGAAAAGTGGCATTACAAGCATCCCCAAGGAGGGATGACTAGTAGACAAAATAAATTGCAATATAATGGAAGGAAATTTTTATATATTTATGAACTAATGACACATCATTTAACAACATATTACAACAATTTTTTGCAAGTTTGTATTAAAATATTTCAGTTTTTTGGTATGGCAAAGGTGTATATATTTTAAATATTTTTCTGTACTTGTGGTACTATTATCTACATTGGCAGATTCTAAAATATGATTTAAATGAGTTTATGGGCAGGCCTGGCTGAATGGGAAAGTCCACAAAGCTCATGGTGACAGTTTCAAATTTTTTTGGCCAATAAACATTCAAAGTCGAAACTACTACTCAGGGTTCAGAGAACTTATAATAATAAAAGTCCTAAACGATGAAACAGAAACTACTTGCCTAAAAAAATTGAGGAATAAAACTAAGCTGGTATCTGTCACTGAACTTCCCTCACTATTGGTTTGCATATTTTAAGGATGTCTAACTTTGGCATCTGCCTCAGTAGATGAGACTCCCTTCGCAAAGCCAAGCCTCGTATCTTTTTATGTTGCCAATCTAAGGAATAACTCTCACCTTTAAAAATAAAATATCCACTAATAAGAACAGCTATTAGAATTGGTCCCCATAAGAATCCAACACGATAAGCATGATTTATGTAGCCAACAAAACAAATGCCTGCAACACTGCTGCCGTCAATTTCACCAAGAGCCATTGTTGTAATTGTCAAAATTAACGGAATGGACCATGATGCCATATGAAAATAGACTCCTTTTTTATCAATGCTGTCATTCAGTTTCCCTGAAAAATACATTAACAAATTAACTTTTATGAAATACAAAGATTATATCATTAGCAAAAGTCTGAAAATGATTAGCTTCTCGTCAAGAAACTGTAATGATTTCACTGATACTCAAGCTTTGATACACTGTAAATCTCTCCGGTGAATCCTCATGTATTATTTACTTAAACAGCTCGGTTCCCACAATATTATGTTCCCATCATGAGAAAGTGTTTAACAAATGTTCTTTGCTTTAATTGCCAGTAAATTGGGAGTATCTAACCAATGTTACACACATATACTCTGTTATAGCTTTAGTTACCAAGCTGAGAAATTTAAATCCATACAGAGGTTGTGCTCTCATTCTGCTTTAAATAAAACTACATTACTCACAGATTTGTACACATTTGTATTTATACATTATTTGATAATTTTGCTTTTTATTAGCGCACGATGTCTCTTTTTCCCCAAAGTTTCTGGTAAAAAATTTCAACAAAGAAAATCGATGTAATTTGCTAGTTTAAAAAATGTATATGAACATCAAGGAATGATTAAAACACAAAAACTTAATGCACTAATAATAATTTTTTTTAAACGGAAATATCTGGATCACTATTTATGGCTTTTCACCTACTTGTATGCTCTGATGGAAATTGTTATCTATTGTTTTTTTGAAGATAATTGAAATTCATTGCTGTATTTCACTGAAATAATATGAGATATCACCCATGTTTCAGAGGTTTTGGATAATAGCAAAAGTTGGGTACAGAGAGATATCAAAAATATATTTTAAAAAAGCAATCCAATGCAATGTAATGTTTCAAGACATAACTGGACTTGTAAATTTCTGGATTTTATTAATTAATTATTACAATAAATTTATTTCTGCAGCTGAACACATGATAGGATTCAAGCAAAAAGTTGACAACTGAAATGAAATTACAAATGCTTCAACTCAACTTTAATAATAAACCTGTAAACTTACCTACAGATTGAAAGCTTATGTGCCAAGCATAAGTAAGAATTACAAACCACACCAGGGCAGCAATTATTGGGTAATAAACCAACACAAAAATTATAACACATGACAAATTTTCTACAGCACTGTAACAAAAACACAAGCATTAATCATTTTTTTCCACACTATTCTGATTCTGCCAATAAATTAGAGCCATATTTTATAAATACCTTGGTTCAGCCATTCGGAGTGTTCCATCTTTGCGACACACTATGTCTTGCCTAGCATTTGGCATAAACTGGGCTAACCAACCAATACAAGAGACAGCAAAGCAGCAATTAATGTAAAATATAATTAAAGGTGGATATTTATTAGCAGATCTCCAGTCAATCAAAAAGGTTATCTGCAATAAAAATGATATTACTTTTTTTTTAAACATTCACAGAACCAAAAAATGCCCAGAAAAGTCTCCTTAATTTATCTTTCTCTTCATCACCCACTCAAAATTTTAATTTCTCTAAAATTATACAGTATCTCTAAAGTATATACACATTTTGCATGTAGGTTTCACGCATCATCAGGTGTGTACATAAAATAAATTATTGGACATGTTTAATCAGAAAGTAAAAATAACATATTATAAGAACACAAAATAAGATATTGAATGCAAACGTTTAAAATAAGTGAAAAAAAAACTGAGAATGAAATCATTCAAATTTGAGTTTAAGTGAAAAATGTAAGTAATAAGTACAACATATAAGTTAGATGGGAGAGAACTGATCAAAACCTTATGTTTAAAGAAGCACATTAATAAACACAATCACAAAACATTGAGATTGTGAAATAAAGTCTTTTTTATGAATGATTCTTTTGATTGTCAAAAATATAAGGACACAGACGACTCCGGTTACAGTGAACGTAAGTCATTGTTCTCGTTTTACTATCATTACAAATAAGCATCAGAAGATTTGGTTATAGTGAACCTGAACCTCGGCTATAGGGAACATGGGAACATAGGTCATGGAAATTAATTCCCTCCTGGAAAAGAATATATCACCTCAGTGCCACAAATTCCAACACTAGAGAGCTTAAAAAATATCATCGGCCAAAGGTCATAATTGAATAAGTCTCCGCTTAGGTGAAGGTAGCGTAACTGGAAGAGGCACCTTACTGACGACCTTATGCCACTCAGTTGCAGAAACAAAGACTGTGTTCTGCGTGGGCTATAACTTGCAATGGCAAATTGCTTGCTGCACTTTGAATCTTGGTGTTACTTGTTATTTTGCAGGATAGAGCATGTGGAGTTTTACGTAGGCAACAGGAAGCATGCGACTTCCACAGCCTGGCGATATGGGCTGTGCTGCATGGAAAAACAACCAGTTTCTTTAGCCGCTCGCGCTATCCAGCTACCGAAATTTTGTATTTTATTAAGCGAGAAAAAGGATCCTCAGAGGAAGAGACGGTGTTCCAACAGTGCAGTATGCAGAATCAAGTATGGGGAGAGCACGAACTCTGAAGAAGGATCTAGAGAAACTAGTAATGAAAAAGTATGAAGCAAACAATTGAAAATAATTCATTTTGTTAAGAACAAATAAAGATATTGAAAATTTCAATTCCTGCTGTTAACATATTTTGCACATCTCTATAATAAAAATTCAATCATTATGGAGGAATTTTATTTAATTTTGACATCATCGGATATAGTGAATCAAAAATGTTAGTCCCCTGAAGATCACCATAAACAGAGTCGACTGTATTTGTGTTCTATTGGTAATTCCATGTGACAATCATATCAATTCAAGATATATCTGTGATTTAAAAACTTTGGTATTTTAGTTATTGGAATTTACAAACTCTTCTTACCAACATGCCTGTATGAATACTCTTATTTCTATAGTACCACAGATGACAAATTATTAAAATATTTAGGTATTCTAGAATCTGGTTATGTGGTGCTATTATTTCATCTATCAGTACATTACAGTGCAGGTTAGCCAAACTGGCTTATACGGCTCAGTTGCCATTGCGTTTTTTCATTTTTGTATTGTGATTTTGGTTGGAAATTATTGTGTTATTTTAATATTTGGCACTTTCAACATGTGCAGCTCAAACTCACACGAATATTAAAATGAACAAATATTTGAGGGAGGTACTGTTGCAGTTAGTTGTTGAAATTGGGCACAATTTTTTGAAGAGACTTTGAGGGGGTTCACTCTGTTAGAACAAAATAATTTTAGACTGGTACTCTAATTATCTCTCATAGGTGTGGATAACATCATGGAAGTTTATATTAACAATACTGAGTAAAGCAAAAAATAGTAGAGTCATCTCACAGAATATCTTCAAAGACAAGATTGGAAAAGACTGTATTGTGAATTTTGGAGGAAGTTATGAAGAAGTTACACCCTGGAAATATTTAAAAATGCAATTAAAGAAGTAATATTACAATGTCAAAATACTTCTTCAATCTTTATTCAATCTGACTTCACGTATCTTGTATTGTGACATACCAGAATATCACAAGAACGTAATACAACATAATGGATGCATCTAGAATGTTAAAATCCAAGGAACATGCATAGCATAGCAATGAACTATAAAGATTTTGGGTCCGTGCTGGATGCTAGAAGAGAATTATATTGTCGAGATACAGCATGGCTTGAGGTCATTAACATGGAAGTAATCTGGGGAGGGCTTTGAACATTTAGCTTTTGCATAAAAAAAACAATTTGTCAGTCTCACAAAAGCAGCCAAGCAGTCCACATGGTATGATCATTATGAAATTGTAATTTTGCGATAATCGATTCATGTTGTGGGTAAATGTTTGCATTTTTTAAATAATAGTTACATTTGTTGTCGTGTATGAATTTTGCATTTAAAAATACTTAGGCTTTGTGTTCGTGAGTTTATATGAGGTTAGTTCCGTAGTGGGCAATATAAATTATTAACTTTAAGGAAATAGTAGTCATGAATAGAGGTTTCACCCGAAGCCTAGTAAGGGAACGTTGTGATGCGATATTAGAGCAGATGTAGGGATTTTCAGAATAGCGGACTGCATTATTAGCAACGTCATAATGCGTTTTAATGCATTATTCAAAGTTTACATGGACTCATAAATTACACCACAGGAGGACCCATGACATCTTTTGGAGAAGATCAACCGAGAAGAGATTCTGTAAGCCAATGAACTTTATCAAAGCGGTACAGTTGAGTAATGTTTAAACTCCATAGAATCATGAATTAATAACCAGCTTGAGACATGTTACTAGAATATTACAATAAATGTTATTTGAAAAGAAAAGGCTGATATTTCATTGTATTGCCATCAATTCAGTAAGTAGTAAATTCCACATAAGTTCCAGGAATCGTGATTTCTGTAGTCACACATCCACGTGCAACAGGTAAGGTGATGTATGTTGTACATTGAACTCATGCAAGATCTTATTAAAAAACAGAGAGAGTCAAACTGTGAGTAATTAGAGCAGTTAATTTATGAGCATAGCAGGGCAAATTAAATTAGAAGAATCATAAATACTTTAAAGATGTTACTCAGCTTGGGGAATGAGAAAATAGGTTTAGTTAAAGATAGTTGATAAATTAGAAAGGTTCATTTTGGGTTACAGTATTAATATTGGTATTCCGAATGAGATCAGAGGTAAAGCACACGGAATTAAACAAATGAACATTGTGCTGTGCTCATAAACGGACCTTCACTAGAATACCAATACTTTTTCCTTCATAAAAAAAAAATCATAATTACAACAGCGACAATCTTACAGCAGTGAAGAGATTCATAGCCAAGCAGATAGATCCTCCATACGCAATGACATTGTATAACTGCTGCTGCTCGTGGTTGGTGAACAAAGGATTCTGGCACTGGATGCCACAGCCTTCAATGCCTTCATAAAATGCAAAGGAGTTGTCAGTCTGGACCAAAGGGGTCTGGCACTGTCCAGTGGTGTTAAACTTCAACTCCCTCACGTCATTCTGTGAAATAATACAGAGAACACATTAACCCTTTAAGAACTAACAGCATTTCACAAAGGCACAAGAAAGCCGTGCCTTTACGCAAATACTGTCATATTTTGATCACTAGACATCGGACTTGGGAAAATGTCTATTTTATTCTGATGAAAATATTTAAAAGCAATTAATATACGTATATTAATATATGAATAATGGCAAACCAAACATTTTGATGAATTTTTATTTTGCCTTTTTTGGTCTTTCGTGACATAAATGCCTTTATAGCATATTTTTCTTTTTAAATGCTTCTTTTTCTTAAAATTTACTTTCTTTTCTTTTTTTTTCTTTCTCGCTTACAAACACAAGCTTAAATTATTTTCTGTTCTACTAATCACATAAATTTTCTACTAGTAACTAATCTCCATTGTTTGTCACCACTGAAACTGTCATTTGGGTTTGCAGGTCATTAGATTTTTGGAACCAAAAAGCTTGCATTGTGGCTTCAATTTTTTTCCCCGCATTTCTAGGCACAAACAAAATAAAATAAAAACGGTGGTCTTAGGTCACTCGGTTGAGCGGTGGGCGCTTACAGGAGCGCTGAGTCAAATTCACGTCGTAATCAAAGCCCGCGTGTCTCAGGCGGGCAAGGCGATGATTCCCACTTCTGACATTGATATATTTCCATGCCAGTTGTTCTTCTAGGATGTGCGCAGTGTAAAAGACCATCTCTGCCAGATGTGAGGTGAGTCTTCTTTCTGCCCACAGTTGTCTGAGATGTGCACCAAGGGAAGAACTTCATCAATGAGTCTAAGTGCAGTAACCGAGCTCAATCTTGTAAAGATGCCAAAGTCTCTCACTTATTAATGATTATTTAATAGTCTATTCTCTCATGTTATATTGTTTTTTGGTATTGGCTAATTTTAGATGCAATTGCAGTGAAATATACTCCTATTTTCCCCCCCAATTTTAAGTTTTTAGTGCCTTTTTAAGCAGGTAAAACGTTGGTTTTTAGTACTTTAACATCCGATGTCTATTGATCACACTACCCTCTTTTTCATTCTACCACTGAACAGACAGCTATTTCTTTGAAAATGGATTATCTTTGTGTTGTTTATAGTATTTGCTACATATTTAATTACCTGGGCACGACTTTTCCTGTCCCAGACTTTAATAAGTTTGCATTTTTTGATTATAGGGGTGTGCATGCAGGGAAAATAGTTCATTGTGTCCTGAAATTGTCAGAGCTGTGCAGGGTGGAGCTTAATGCATAAAAAAAGACCCTAAAATAACAAGAAGAGGTATTCTGAACAGTAATAGCAATGAGGTCTTTGGTCAAATAATATTATAAGAAACATTTTCACCCAGTAATTCAATTAATAATCTGATGCTGATAATTGAGGAAGTGATTATTTTATTAAAATTTAATTTGTAGATGATTTGTAACAAATGAAAATAAATTTTTTATTCCCAAACAACAAAGCTAGTAAAAGAAACTGTTTGTAAAGAATACTTTACGTTGTTATCAAAAATTTTGTAAAAGCAAAGCTTTGATCTAGCAAATCACTAGATGGATTTGGATGATGATTAAGATGTTTGAAAACTGAAAATTTCCTATTCCTGCAATTTTAATCAGTTTATGTAATATTATCATTTTGCAATTTTTGGAGTTGTTCAAAAACTGCACCCTGCTGCAAACTTGCTAACAGTACAGATCATGAACCAGCAAATTCTACTGGCTCCACAAAGAACATATTTCTATTCTTGAAAAAAATGAACAAATCACGAAGAAAGAAAGGAAATTTGTGCTTCAGTGCTCCACTTTGAAGGGAACACTTACCCTGCATTTTGGCGGGAATACAGTTGTGTTTTCACATTTAGGAAATGAAGGCCAATTATTGGTTTGCAAGAGAGTCCGACATGGCCAAATTGTCATGTTGCACATTTCCTAAAAGAAAACATGAGAAAGTAAAATAAGATAGTTTTCTATTATGAAACAGTATAACCACACAGATAACATAGAAATAAGGCCGTTAATTACCTGAGAAGGTAAATCAACCATTTCATCTTCACATCTTGGCATGTAAAGAGAACACAATAACGGCTGAATTATAGCCCAGCACTTTGGTATTTGTCGCAGCCCCTCCGACAATGCTGAAAGTTTTTCCTAGAAAAAGAAAAGACGTTGACAACAGGATTAAAAAGGACAACATGGAAAACAACAGGTTTCTCTGAAAATGATCTCACAATATTAAATGGCAATAAAAACTTATTGTGAACTCACCAACACTTGCTCCTGAGATGTTACGTCATCCACCAGATCCAGAGTTGTTGATGAATAAGGCAACTTTACGCCAAAACAGGAATTATTATTAAGTTTCTCGCACTTGGCACGTTTTCTACAGTGAAGTCCTTTGCCATCTTCAACAGACAGATATCTACCCTTTGTTTGTCCTAAAGGTTGTCTGACGGGTTCAGTCGTAATTGCTTCAAAATTTGTATTAATGAGTTGCCCCGATACATTTGTGGAAACTGCTGACGGTATAGACGGATTGGGCGTACCCACCAAGTGCATTGGCAGGTACAACAAAAACAAAGAGGTGATATAAATGTTTCTTAGTAAGTTCTTCGACATTTTCAGCATAACTCTGGAAAATAATATTAATTTATAATTTTACAATGCTCATTTTGACCAAATTGAATGTGATAGTATCGGGCCAAAATTTTCTCGATAGTTCAAACCCAATATTATTCTTTTTAACTAACTTTCATTGCACTACTGATAGAGTTGTCTAAATATAACACAGCATACCTCTAAATTTCTGTAAAAGTTGTTCAAATATTCTCTCAAGGCTTGTTTTCTTGTAGAATGTTTCACTTGCGAACAAAGCCTTTGCGCCTGGACCACACGCATTTTGTGTTGAGACCACCCACGACGCTGCACCCGCCGTCCGGTCATGGCGAGTTTACAGCGCAAAATGAGTGGTACCTAATTTTATCGCTAGGAAGCGGTGCTGTCGCACCACGCAGTTGTTGCGCAGCTGTCAAGACGTGGGCGACAGTATACGTACTCCGAGAAGCACGTCGAAATGTAGATAATAGCATTTCCAAGTTTGCTATGGAATTAATTCCGGCGTAGCTATCTTTGTTTGTGCGTTTAGAAGATCTCTCAGCTTTGTAGTATTACCCATATGTAAAACCCTTTATCCATTTTTTCATACCTACAAATAAATGTCAATATTCACTTGCTTTTCTTGTAATTGACAATAGTGTACTAGAACTGATAACATGAAGAGTGACAGCTGGTAGATATGTAACGAAACGCTCCAATATATTTAAATGTTAACGTCAGATTCATCCATTGGCCGGTAATAATTTTTCTCTGTGTATTGATTAGTTTAGCTAGTGATTCTCGCGTCGTATTGTTTCTCTTTCGCCCCTATGTGATAGGATCAGATTATGAAGTCATTAATATGCACCCAACCAGACAGGTGAAATGAACACCTGCTTTGGATTATCCTTCAAGTGGTTCTGCAGTGCCAGAAATTGTTTTCACAGTCCTGTTGAAAGAGCACTTGGATATCAAAAAGAATAGTGTTGAATTCACTGAAATGCAGTCATCACTTTGTTGTGGCAGGTGTTTGTGCATAGTATTATTTTGTTTTAGGAAATTCAGAATGGCTTGTGATTGGAAATGTGGTGCTGTCTTATTTATGGTATTGTTAGTGAACATCGTTGAACAAAGTTCTGGGCAGCCCCGAGAACTAGACCCCCAATGGACATATGTTTGCCCTACAATTTACCCTACAGTTTTTACTGGGTTTGCACCTCGTGGCAATAAAACTGCTGGAACATATAAGAAAAAAGATAAAGTTCACACTCTAGATCAGTGCATTATGACTTGCTGTAAGGACGATTATTGCAATGTTGTCTTCATGCATGATACCTCGTGTTACCACGTAAGAATTTACTTCGCTTAAGTTTCGTAAATAATTGAAACCTTTCTTCTTTGATATCATTAAATCTGATTTCTACTCCAGATTTTCTGCAGCAGCAATGAAATGTGTGCTCCTGTTTTCCGTCCAGAAGCTCAGTTTGGAGAACATGTAAACATGGTTCTGGTACGGGCAACATCACCAGGAGAAGCATGGAGTGATGTTTTGGATCTTGCTTCACCAGATGATGATGTAGTGTATGTGATAAATTATACCATCCATATGTTATTTATTAAATAATCTCTGTATAGTACACTAAAGATGATTGAAGTTATTTGTCTTTTTACAAGAAACTGTTGTCACAAAACCCTGTATGTATTGCTGTTGGATAGGGAATTGCCCCCCCCTGCCCGATCGGATTTAAACAAATTTAAGATGAAAAAACTGGAGTTTGCAGATTATAACACAAAGAACAGATTACTCTAATACAGATTCAAATCCCACAAAAATTGGAAACGATGTACTGCAGACCCTTAAAAGATGGTTTTCGTGACCTGGAGGGACACAAGTTTTAGAAGTACAGATGAGTTTGGTGGCGACAGATGGGAAATAGTGTGGGACAGGTAGGAACTGATTGTTTCACAAGAAGTATTCTACAAAATGAGACCTTTGTGCTTTCTATTACATTTTTGGAGATTTAGCTCTTTTGAGGAACCCTAGTCCAATTGTTAGACTTGAGCAATAACTCAAAATCTATGTAAAGCCGTATTAAAGGAATAGAGGGAAATAACATTTCATGATAACATTAAAGTGACAATTTGATTTTCTGGGAAGTATTTTTGTTTGTTTTTTACCTCCATTGTTTTTTGATAGTGGAGAAACTTAAGAACTTTTTGGCCAATATGTATCGAAAAGCAGCATTGTAATATTTCTTTAAAACAAACAAGACCAGAAAGGCTGAATCCAAAATCGGTAGAAGTGCATTTCAATTTTTAGGAATTGGGTACAATTTTTTAATTTGTTGCACTGCTGTTCTTTCAAGCTCGGAAGAAAGAATGATTTCATACTTTCTTCTTTCAAAGCTATATGTGACTACAGTGTTGCTAATATGAATTCATAATTTTCTTATCTAATGACATCAATGGGTTTGGTAATTACTAAGAGATTTAAAATTTGTATGCTTATAAGAAGATTTTTCAATGCAATGTTAATAATTGTAGAAAGTTAGTGATAGAATTTTGAAAAAACTGGATCAAAAGCAAAACAGATTTCTAAGTAATGAAGTTTTGGAATGCCAATTTAAAATCTGCAATTGTTTTCTGCAGAGAAAACTCCTATCAAACATTTAGCAAATATATTAAATTTTTTAATGAATAAGAAGATATTAGATAGTATATTATGTGAATAGAATGGAAGTTGCACAGCTGTTTAGGAAAATTCAACATCAGGGTCCAGGTTTCAAAGGTCTGTTGGAAAGTTTCCAGCGATTGGAGATGGGAAGAATGTCTTCCATAGTCAAAAATAGTGTGTTTCCGGTCTGTGAATGTTACTTCCACCACACTTACAAAAGCACCCAATATTTAATGTTTTTGATATAGTTAAATTATATGAAGAAAATCCAAAGCTCTAAGATACTTAAAGACTGGAATTACATTCCATACTTCATACTTCTGGTGTCTTACTGGAATTCCACATCTAAAATAACACTGGAATATAGTCAATAGGAAAAAGTGTGTTTCAAATAATATAATAGATGATGTTAGAGAAAATCAGAACAAATGACATTGCATTGCATGTGTGTAGAATGAAAGAAAATTCTCAAAAGTCATTGCTACAATACAGAGGACAAAGTCATTTACAATGAGGAAGGAAAACATAAATTTCGAAAAGGTTGGCTGAATTAGGAAATAATTTATTGTTATAATATTAATTAAAGTGATAAATAAGAAAATTATTAAAGATAATCATATTATTGGGGCGCCGAGTCTTCTAAATATTTTGTACAGATATCTCACCCTTCAATTTTAAGTTTAATTTCAAAAAAAGGGTAAAACAAAGAACTGTTTGATGAGGCAATAATGTTTGGAGATGGAGGCACTAAGGGATAGTTGTTACATTTAGTTTTCTTAAGAAGAGAAATGGACCGTTTCAGCATTTGAGAGCATACACTTCTCTGACTGGAGACAGCAGCTACTTTACTATCTTGGAGACACTGCATCCTAGGCATAGGTATGAACATTTTGGCTCCCATTCTGCTACCTTCCTGATTTCACCCTGAGGAAGGCTGCTGAATGGTGGCCGAAACATTTTCACATTTACCTAGGTTGCGGTGTCTTCTAGACGTCCAAGTAGCTACATCTCAGTATTTACTCAATGGATTGTGGGAAACTGAAATCAGTTGAGAAGAGTGTCAGACCTAGAAAAGATCTGGAATATTTGTTATAAGTGCACATTATAATGTATCTTACAATATAGTGGACAGCATACAGTTACCAGATTTACTAATAAAGTAGTGTATTAAAATGAAATTAATCATTTTTATTCTTGATACGCATTATGATGTAATTGTGTGAAATAATTATACTGCGGAGAAGTCTCCTTGATGTATGAACTTTTGTAGCTACTTCAAATGATTAATATCATTGTTTGGTAAAGCATTGTGAAATAGTTTAGGGATGTGATAGTGTACAATAGCAATGAACGAGTTTAATACCCTTCACTTAGAATAATAAAAACAAACAAAAATAATAACACTATTCTTCTCTGTATTATTTTACAGGAGAGATATGTTAATGGAGGCAAGCGAGAGCCACTACCCTTTGTTTGGGGATCCCCAGGGTTGCGAAGTAGGCATTATCATTGACTGCCCTGTGCATGAAACATGTGAGAAGGTCAACACCCATTCGCGAAATGGCAGGTGCAAGTGTGAAGTTGGCTATCAACGCAACGGAACAGGACACTGTGTTCTCGCCTTCAATTCTACACAACCCACTACCAGCCGTGAGCCACCTACACAAGATCCTGCAGTTCCAATGAAGGTACGGGCAATTCATTTATTGCTATTATATCTTTCTTTTACCTTTCAGCTTAGAACTTCAACTGATGCCATTGCGGTATCCCTGACCAGGTCATAGGATTTGAGTAATGATAGTGGAGGATTTTTTACTATAGGTTGTTAGCTATGTTAAATGTAGCTGCTGTAGGAAGAGAATTCTAGGGGCAGGCAACTCTGACCAGTGGAGATCAAGTCATTTCATACAATCGTATTAATTTTTATGATTTGGGGTTTGAGATTTTTTGCTTACTGTAGTAATGAAGTACATATTTCATTTATCAAAGATAATGTCCTCATGTGTCCAATTTCTGTATTGATGTATTTTGTTGTTGTTTGTTCTTCTTCTTCCTCCTTTTTGCTGCCTGATTTAACTTTTTTTAAAATTTCAGATGTATTCTGAGGGTGATTCTGGTGGGTCCAGAACTTTGGCGGGGACTGAGGTATCATCTGCCCAGCCTCTAAAGCAGTTGACAGTTTCTGCTATATCAAAAGTAGTACGGCTTCCTGAGAATGAAGTAACGTTGCCCACTTTCACAGTTCCTGCTGAACAGCCTGGTAAATAATAAATGCCTGAAAAGATAACAAAAGTTCTCAAAAACTCAGAAGCTTCAAAGATACTGTTACAGTTAAATCTATCTAAGCTGAAATTGATTGGAACAAAACGCAATTCTGGTTCAGGGAGATTTCTGATTCACTCAAGGTTGCCAACCAGAATTGCATATATTATATATATACATTGCACACACATATCTATCTATCTATCTATCTATTTATAGATAGTTTATTATTATTATTATTATTATTATTATTATTATTATTATTATTATTATTATTGAAATACAACGTAAACCATATTTATGGAAAAAAAATCACCAATCAATGAATATTAAGCATTCTTCATTGTCATCCGAGTTTCTCTTGCTTCTATAAAGTTTGAGCTTTACACCTCACTGCCTTCTGGCTGCATTCAGATTGCTTGCCTACTCTTTCCACGCACAATGTGGCACAACCCAGAGTACTATGACTTTCTGATACCCTCACATAGCCTTGAGTAATGTGTATCTGGTCGAGGGGTTATGATTTTCACCTCTCGTCTGGGAGACACGTGAATAGAAGCCATGCCCGTACACTTTCTCATGCTCAGAGTTGGGAGAGACGGAATTCTCCTACAGACTACACCTTGAGAGACAAGCAACCCCAAGGTTGAATTTATGCTGACTGCTGAAGCCCATCTCCTCGTTGTGGCTGCCAAGACTAAATTGGTGTTGCAGGATAGAGAATTTAAAAGAGGCTTGGAGATGAATTAATTTCATTAAGAACAACTCTCATCTCTCTGTCAATTGCATTGAATTCACAGGAATTCCATTTTATAAAGGATTTTTCCCCCCCTGCAGGATATGATAAACTGTTCCGTTTTAATGTTGGACAGGTTTTGTTTTACGCTGTGTAAAATATCATTTAACTTCATGGATCAGGGAAGTTTCCCATTTAAGGCAGGTTTCAGTTTAGACAGATTTTATTGTATAAAGCATTGTGATTCAGTGTAGTTCTTAAACCAGATGTTACTGGCAAAGTTTCAGACATTCTATAGAGAAGAGAGAAGTTACTGTAATTTGGTGTCTTCAAAATGTGCTTAAATGTGAATACTTCCCTGCTATAAATAAGGTTTCCTGAGGTACAGAATGAAAGGTGGATAAATATTGTATGTACATTCAAGTTTTCTGTATTTTTTGGAGCTTTTTCATGTTTACTAAAAAGCTTTTGGTATCAAGTTTATTAAATCTAATGTTTATGGGAGTGGTTTCTTTCGATATCCAAGTACCCCTTTGGCCTTCAGAGTTTGTTTCAAGAAGTAAGAAAGGTTATTGGGGATTTTTCTTGTTGCACCTATTGCGACATGAATAATAATAACTTAATATTCCAAGTTATGATTAATTATTTAAATCGTAATGCATAGAATTTACAAAATAGGAAATTATTTTTAAATTAATTTGAAGTTGGTGCTCTGCTAAACAGAAGTAAAATATGTTTTCTTTGGACAGTTGATTTTGTTCATTACTAATTTTTTTTGCGAGCACTGAAAAATAACATATTTAAAACCTACATTAAAATTAGAAAATAATGAACATGAAAATTGCTCGCATTAGCAAACTATTAATAAAAAATATTTTTTCCTTGCTAGATATAATCTTGGGATCCCTCTGTCTACTATTTGTAGTACATGTACTATCATTTGGAGACTGTTGGTTTATGGATTTACTTCTAGATTTTGACCATGTTTTGTAAATCTGTTCACAGGGGAGCATTACAAATATGAATGGACTTTGTTGTCACAACCCGACGGTGTGAACAGTGGAACAATGAATGATAAAAATGGTGGAACTCTGAAGCTTAGCAACCTCATAGAAGGCCTGTATATGTTCAAAGTTAGCGTCTCTGCACCTGGTGCCTATGGAGAAACTTACGCGAATGTTACCGTTTTACCTCGTAAGTTAACATTTCTAACAATGAATGTGTATTGTGTAAAGGACATGAGAAGATGTATGTAAAGAATGTGCCAGAAAATTCCAATGTGCTTCTGTGGCTCTCCATTGACATGTCCTGCTAACTGTGGTGAAGAAGGCATAGGTGAAGATCATTAATGTGGCATATCTCAAGTTTTCATTTCTGCGCATCCGTACGTTTAGTTGCTCAATGAGATTGGTTATAAAATCTACATATGTATCCCTAATTCATCATCATCATCATCAGAATATTCTGCAGGTTGCTGGTTGTGTCATCTGTTCCTGTTGTTTTATAGATCCTGTGCCTTTTAGTTCCAGCTGTTTCTGACTTAACTGTTTCTGTTCTGATCTCCCCACATCTCTGCCCTCACTCACAAGGGTTGCTTTTGAATTGTGTCTATGGAAACATTCCAAACGCATCTTCACTGGCGTGAAATAGAAACAATTTTCTTTTGAAGGCGAGAACTTCTATCCCTTATTTTCTCCAAAAAATCTAAAGAAATGATCGAAACAGGTAAAGATCTATCACAGGAGATACCTGGAACTCCTGAGAAAGTAAATTATTGAGAATGTTGCGAACGCTGGGTCTGGGTATGACTTATTCTCTAGAGATTAGCATTGCTTCATAAAATCTAGTGGCTGATAACATAACTAATACCTCTACTCTCCCCGTATTTCTTCAATCCATCATTCAAGAAAAGGTGTGTGAGTAATACTTATTTCCCCAAATCCTTGTAGGGTTATGGCCCTAAAAAATGAGACTGTAGAAGACCCAAGAATGTGAGGTTCTTATCACCGGTTCAGTTCATATTTTGGAGAGATGGCAAAAAAATCATGTGGTTTAAGTGATAGGACAAATTCACTTTTCATTGACAAATGACAACATTCTCTGGAGTGGGGAATTTGAAAAGTTTAGACAACTCCAATGCATGTAACACTAATTAGTAGGGGACGGAATTTATTATAATAAAAAAAAGTACATTTATGGTATATTTTATTTCTTTTTCCAAAAAATGTAAGAAAAATATAAAATATGTAAAATAAAAATATGTTTAAAATTGCTCCATGGTAGCATTTTAATCTTTTGCACACAAAATGTTGCCAATTAGATCTTTAAATGAATTTGGAGTAGCTGAAAGAAAGTTCTACCTCTGTAGAAGTAATTTCACACTAGTATTCACCTCACAATACAAGTTTTATTCGAAACAAAAAATATATATGTAGTACATGCAGTGTTGTTTACGATGAAATGGTGCAAAATTGAACAGTCATACCGTGTACTCAAGGAAGAATCCCGGAGGGGAGGGGTGGTTACAGGGAACATACACCCAACCCCCAAATCCAAGCATGTGATAAGAAGATTATCTGTAAAAAAGTAGTTTTGAGATTTTGATTTAATTATACATGGACCCTATGAAATATGAGCAAGCACGTGGTTGAGATTACTTCTGCTTCGCGAATCTCCTCTCATTCTCAGTTCTGAGAAGGATTCCAACAAATATGTGTGTGTGTATAAGTTTGATAATTTATGGGAAAGTTCTGATGGACATAGATGTGCAGTAGTTTCACATTACTTTATAAGAAAGATAATTCTAGTAACATATTTGGCAAACACCTGTATGAAATGCTCCATACAGACATCTATTTTCATATGTAAATATATCCAAAATATGTGAAATAAAAATGGTTATTTTTCATTCAGAATGTATCGTAAATTCTAAAAAATTATTGAATGCAAGTAGTTTGTATCTCTAAAAATATTTATTTACATAAAAATCCATTCCCCACTAATTAGTAAAGCCATCTTTCTGTGTGCTACTCCACTCAACTTCTGTGCTGGTATTGATGAAAGAATCCTAAATTGGCATACTTTGCATTGTTTGCCGGGACTTTGACAGGAGTTCTTGTTTAATTTTTTGAGATGTAATGGATTTGAGTTTCCTGTATCTTCACCATTTAACTTGTTTGTTTGTTTTTTAGCTAAGCGTATAAACCAACCTCCAATTGCCATCATCACTCCTCCGTCTCAAACAGTCAAGCTCCCGAACACAGGTGCTGTCCTTGATGGTTCCAACAGCAAGGACGATGACAGCATCATTAGCTGGCACTGGGAGTTGCAACAGGGTCCTATTGGGTATCAGCCACACCTAGTTGATACTCCCACCCTGCAGCTGGACAACTTGCAGTTGCCTGGAAACTACACCTTTAAGTGAGCACAAAGTTGTTGACAAGTATTTAAAACAATTGAAATTCTTGTGGGCAGAATAAGCCAAACTAGTGAAAGCAAGTCTCCAGCTTTTCATAAATGTTATTATTCCAATTTCAGTCAATGTGTACCTGAGTCTTTTACTATATTATTTATTTTCTTGAATAAAGGATCCCATCACATTTAAGCCCCACCACAGATTTTTGGATAAAAATTTTGAAGAACTTTGGTATGTACTTGTACTGATACTGAATTCATATGATACAGTTTAGCTACAGTATGATACAGATTTGTTCATTGCAAACATGTTGTTTAAAAACTGGTAATTTCCTTCAATTTTCATCATCAGCAGGTCCTAAAAATAATTGCAGGCAGGACATCGGAAATAAAACTACTCATCCATTTGTATCAATGTTTGAAAAACAAAAGGAAATTTTTGCAAAATTATTTCACATCATTTCAAGATACTTGCATATTAGCCCTCTCCATTTTTTGTTGCCAGTTTTTGGGGGGGAAAGCGAGGCATACTTTTAAGAAAATATGGATATCTTGTTCATATTTTTGAAGGGCCTGAGGCAGAAACAAGTTGAAACACATTTTAACCAAAATAAAAATATTAACATTAACAAATAGCAGGAGGCTAGTGTGGTTTATCTTGTTACCTTCCCAATCTTTTCAGTTGTGTTATAAATGAAACTAGCAAAATAGCAAACTAGCAAAAAATCAAACTTTTTGGGAAGTGCAGTATTAGACTTCAATGAATTCATTTAGTTTCTAGTATTTAGCATGTAACATTACAATGAACAGAATGTATACTGCGGTTTATGCAATTCTGCCTCTGGTAGTAGGTATCAGCTGTTGACCGTTTCATCCAATTGAGAGCTTGAACGGCACCATAGTGACGTCACTATGGTGACCCTCAACCTCCCAATTGGATGAAACTATCAACAGCTGATATCTGCCAGGGGCACAGTTGTAAAAATCACAGAATAGTAATAAATATGTGTACTTAAATTATATTCGTATTCCTTTGGAACTATTTTTGTATTGTTGGAATGATCATGTTTCAATAGAAGTATTTTTAAGAAATGTAGGTTGAATTACTTATTAAGGATGTCACCATAATTAATTATCATACTAATGCCTGGAAAAATAATTTTATTTCAGATTAACTGTTGAAGATTCAGACCATGTTTCCAATTACACGACTGCCAATGTTACTGTTCTTAAAGTGACAGACTATCCTCCAGAAGCCAATGCAGGGCAAGACATCATCATTTACTTGCCGCACAATAACCTTACGTTAAATGGCAACCTGAGCACTGATGACAGGGGTATTGTGAGTTGGGAATGGACAAAAAGTCCGTCCGATCAAGATAAAGCTGTTGACATGCAGGTGAGAATTCCCGACCATGGATCTTGCCATGTATAGTTTTGTGAGATGATTTTCATGAGAGAATGAAAGAACTGTGTTTATGCCTTTTTTTTTATCAGAACACAAGGAATCCATATTTACAACTGTCTAACTTAGAAGAAGGAATGTATACATTTGTTTTGAAAGTTACGGATAATTCTGGACAATCTTCATCAGCAGAAGTGCACGTTTTTGTAAAACCACCTACTAACAAACCTCCAGTTGGTATGTAAGATTTTGTATAAGTAAATTTACTTATTTTAATTGTGTGTGTCATTAAATTTTCTGAATTCAGTTGCATTCAATTTTCTCATTGTTATTTATAATATTTTGGGGAGTATAATAATTGTTAATAATTATATCTGTGAAGTGACAATCAATCATATATTCCTAAATTGTCTTCTCAAACCATTATGCTTTGCACTTTTTTCTTCTTTTTTGCATTACAAATTCATTATTTATGTGGCCTAGTTTCACAATGTGGGTATTATTAAAATGTAGATTATACATATGCAATGTGAGTCATTTCTAACTATGTTGACATAAATGATTACAACTCAGAAGTGTTTGATTGATTTTGCTGAGAAATGTTTTATTTTTGCAAGTAGTTTGACTACAATTCAATTGAAGTTGAAAAGCATTTGTTATTGGTGAAGTTGAATCACTCATTCTCACATATCAAAACCTACTTGGATTGGATTCAAGTGAAAAATCAGTCCAAAATGTATGAATTGATAGAGGTTGTTAGAGTTGAGCAGCAATAAACAACATCCCTGTACTGAACAAGAATGCAGCAAAGTCATATCAATACCTTCTGCCATTGAAGCACAGGAACTGCAGACTGCAGCAGGCGGATTTACACATGGGTACAGGAGGCTTGTGCCTTTGATGACAAAAATTGTGCCCTAAAATTGTATCTAAAAAGCCACTTGTGTGTCGCATGTAATTTATCATTAAAAAAAAAATCTATGAGTTTTTAAACAGGTTAAATACTCCCAAATTAATTTATTAACAGCCTGCTAATACCTGCTGCTACATGCCTTGCCATAAGTCACAATTAGCGATGTTTATATTTCAGAAGTCGTACAATTAACATTTAATAATAATTACCAAAAAAAATGTCTTCATTTTACACCAGTTCAAGTTCCCTTTGTCGGAATTCTTAGAACGTATAATTCTCTGCTGAATTTGTAAAATTTATAATACGAGTAATGTATTCATATTATAAATTTTAGAATTAATACATGTTTAAATAAGTGTAATTTTTGTAATCCCTTTGAAGATGTCTTATTTTGTTCATATTTTTGTGTGTTAATGTGGACATTACATCATTTTAAGAATTAAAGGTAGAACAATGGTAGAATAATAAATCTGCATAACTCCAAAAAAACAAAACAATGTAAGCATGCTGAATTTATGTTGTTTCCTTACATCAAATTATATGATTTAAAAATTAATTGATTTTTTGAAGAAAAAGGTAAACATGACACAATTATTAATTAAACCATATGTTTAGCCAAATATGTGTCCAATTTTGAAACATAAGTTTAACTTAAAACATTTTTACTCATTATTGGAATAAAATAGGTTGCGATTTTCTCATGCCTGTAGACATTGTTGTTAATGCACCTCTATTGTTTTATTCAAAAAACAAATTTCATAAAAATATTCCTCAGTGCTGGGGAAATACAGTCTAGTCAGTTGCTTGAAGACTTAAATGTATGGGGGTCGAAAACAAATAAGATACAAAGGAAACTAGGTGGAGTTCTTCACCAGCATGTACTTTCTGCCAATTATTTGTAAAGCACATTGTAATAGAACATGAGCCTGCAAAATGCTTTCCAATCAGCAAAAATTTTCTCTCTGTGCTGGGATTCAAACTCAAGTCTTTAGTATTAATTAGATCGCTGGTGAGGTAGATACCTTCTATTATTAAGAAAAATAAATAATTGATACCAGACAACATCCCTTATTTATCAAGTCTTTAGAGTTAACACGCCAGACACTTTACCCCTACACCGCCAGTAACACAAAATTTACTCAACCTTCCTAATCTTAAAAAAAATGTTGAACATTTGCATTTGCAATTTTCAAAAATTCAGTGATTTTCTTTTCCTTATGTGAAGATCTAGTTTTCAAAAACACATTTCATTAGGGAAAAAGTCTCTGTCATAAAGATGTTTATTAATTGACGTAGTTTAATGTAAATCACAGAGAAATAGTAATATTGTTATTAAATAATATACTTTCGTAATTTTTTATGGGTTAGTGTGTCCTGATTTTCAATTTTGACATGGAACTGATATTGTCTAGCTCCATTACTGCTTCCCATTATATAAATTTTGTAACAGATTGCCTCTTTAATTTTTTAATGACTCCTCTTCCCTCATTTTTGAGCATTGAATAATAATTTTTTGTTTATTTTTTAATGTCTGTGTGCAATGTTATAATCACTTCAGGGCATTAATCAGATATGTTTGTACAATTTTGTATGTTGCAGCCAATGCTGGAACAGATATTGTTGTATCTTTACCTCAAAACACAGCTCTATTGGATGGATCTCAGAGTTCTGATGATATCAAACTCAAAGCATTCCAGTGGGATCAATTAAGGTAACTTAATCTTAATTTCTATTGTCACTTTTGCTAGGTTTTGATTGCTATCTTTAGTTCTGTAGTCAATTAAGTGATATGTTTAATGCTTCTGTTAATATTACTTTAGAATATTTATTGCTAATAAGTAAATTACTCAAAGCATGAGGACTCCAACCAGAAATTCAACCTTTATCTACCAATTTATGTCCAGAGCTACCAAGACAACCAATGATCTGAACAGATTCATAAGATTGAAATCTCCTATGTTCTTGCAACTATTACATTTTATGAATTTGTGAAATGCCATTTTATTAGGTTGATTGTGTAAATTTGTGGACTCTTCAATAAACTTGGGGGCAGCATGTCCTCTCCAAGTATATGCTTAATACAGGACTTCCTTGCACAAAGCTAATGTATAGACAGTGAAGTGCAACAGAAGCTATTATCAATCAAATTTAACTTTAGATAAACTTGTGTTATTTTTTTTTATAATGTTAATGGCAATTTTCTTCTTCTTTCAGTGGGCCTAATAAAGCTGTTTTCTCCAATGCCAATGAGTCTCGTACAAATGTCAGTGAATTGACAAAAGGTCAATACGAGTTTCAGTTGACTGTTACTGATGAAAACAACAACAAAGCTAGTGATTCTGTGTTGGTAACAGTTACTCAGAGTTAGTATCATGAAATTAAATCTGTGTGATGTCCTGAGTCTAAATGTTTGGGCAAAATTACTATTCATTTCTCAAGTCTTTAACTTTTCAATCATACTTATTTATGATTTTAAAAGTGATAAAATTATTGTTATTTGGTCTTTTTATGGTTGATGATGCTTATGGATGATGTACTGGAGAAACTTTACCTCATTTGAATTTTTGTTTTTTCAACAGATAAAAATGCTCCTCCGAAAGCGAATGGGGGAGGTGACCAAACTATTATCCTGCCTATCAGTGTTGTGAAGTTGAATGGATCGCAGTCAAGTGACGACCTGGGAATAGTTCAGTGGTTGTGGACAAGAGAACCTAATAGTCTCGCGCTGGGTAAAGTGATTGGAGAAACAGATCGAACTTCTATACTCATGGTAAGAAGAGTTAGATTTGTCTGAACGAATATATGGACATTAGTGTTGCTACAAAATGAATTTTTTTAACATGCCATGCGTGAAACACTAGTTTTGTGCTTATTTTCCATGTGTAAAAACCTTTTTCACAATACTTGAAACATCATGACATGTATGCGAAACATCTGTAACTATTCCCAATTGTCTTTTGTCTTCAAGTCTTTGTTTATTATTTACAAACAATAGTGTTACAACATTGTACAAGTAAGGTATTTCTAGTTATTTGATATTTAATTTATATTCCTTTACTTGATGCATTGCATTTCGCTCTTGGCGTGTTAAAAAATAGTATACACAACACAGGCGCGAGGTGATTCCTGCACTCGTCTCTTTGTAGTCTGAGCGTAGTGAGGATGACAAACTTGACTCATTCATGAATCACTTATTTCACACCTTTATATTCCTTTACTTGATGCATTGCATTTCACTCTTGGCGTGTTGAAAAATAGTATACGCAGCAAGGGCGCGAGGTGATTCCTGCACTCGTCTCTTTGTAGTCTGAGCATAACAAGGACAACAAACTTGACTCATTCATGAATTACTTGTTTCACGTCCTTGATGCATAAAGTATTATTTTGTACTACTTAAGTTCCTATTCTTTCGTGTCGAGACTGGCTTTTCAGTGTTCCCTCTCCTCGTTCCTAGCTGCCTTTTATTAGCACCGGAAAAACCTACCTGGGCCTTACGCAGTTATCATTGCGCTTTTGGGGACAATTCTAATATTAGAGTTCCCTTTTGCAGAGGATTGATAAGAAACACACATTTTTTCACCGTTGCTCAATCTTCTGTTCAGTAGCGCTGAAATGGAAATAAGAACTTAAGAGTATGACAGAAGAGCAAAACTCCTTCAAATGTACATTTTTGTTAGATAATTTGAAGCCATTTTTAAGAAAATGTTTCATCATTTCTGAAAATGCACAAACCTAAAAACCTTTGGTGTCTTTCATAAACTTCATAAGTAAAGCCTGGAAGTTTGGCAAAATGTCTTTTTGTTATTGCTACTGTTTCATGACTTTTGACAATAGAAATGACTTAATCTTACTTTTTGAGTTGTCTTAGTAGATTTTCCTTTTGCTTATTTTGGCTTTTAATGCCAATTTTTGCCATTTTGTGTTATTTTTGCATGTTTCTGCCTTTTGTGTCATTATTTTGCTATTTTTTCCCCTGGTGCCAATCCCAATCAATCTGAACATACACATGCAAGCCTGAACAATACGAAGACACAGTCTTATTTTGTCTTTCTGAGGAAGCCGAGACTGTTAAAAATCTAAATGAAAAAGGAAGTTATCAGTGAAGATTTTTGATTTTTTCATCAATGCAACATACCTTGTTCTCTTGAGAAATCTCATACTACTTTTGACGGCCTCTGATGTGTTCTGACATCAACTCTCTGTGTATGACATACCATTCTCATTGCTGGCGACTACACAAGTGGGAAAAAGGAAATACATAATTCTGTTTTCAATAATGCCATTTCAAGATTCAAAAGAGAGTCCACAATATCATTTTGAAGAGAGAGGGTCAGAAATAAAATAAATTTGTTGTCATCATTCTGTGCGGTCACATGACCTCAACCTTTGCCTCCAGTTTTGCCTTCATCTTCGCTTCCACTTTCTCTCGATTACACATGCAATTTAGATTACCAAGAAAAGATAGTTTCCTTACATGTTTCATGGTAACGTGCATGTTAAAGATAGAATAAAAATGTTAATAATTTTAAATATTAATTTTTTGCAATAATTATTTTTTAAGTGTGATATTTTATTGTTTATGTCTTTTTTCACCCATACGTCAGCTAGAATTAATGCCTTTTTCCATGCGTATTTTAATAAAATAAACGTCTTTTTGTCTGCCTATTTTAGATAAAATAAATGCTTGAACTTCCAGGCTCTATTTATAAGATATCATTTAAAGAACTTGTTTTGTGAATGCATTAAATTGTAATATTTTATACAACATATTTTATGCAAATTATTTGATTCACCTATAAATAACTACTATGTTAGGGGTTTTGAAAAACATTGTTTATAAAAAATCAAAATATTTAACCAAAATAACCCTTATAATATGCAATTCAATGCTTATATCTCATACAAAAAATAAAAGAAAAAATTTGGTGCTGTTTTTGAAAAAAAAAAATTTCATGTATTTTTTTACCTATTACAGTCAAAATTGCATGAAAGCTACGTATAGTTTGATAACAAAGCACATGACATTAATTAAAGATCGAGTTATATAGAAGAAATTTTATTACAAAAATCTGAATATCTATTATGATGTCAAAAACGTGTCAACATTATGTAATTTTTTAAAATTCTGAAGTTACAGTGAAAATCAGATCTCTGCCAAGTGTGAGCATGTTTGCTCTGTATTAACAAAATATTTAAACACAAAATGTTTAGCAGTTTTTGAGAAAATTTTGAAAATGTAGAGGCTACATGTGAAGTCACCAAAAAATTAAAATATCCATTTCAAATTCCATGTGTAATGACATTAGCTACATTGATAAGAATGTATTGAATTTGATGAAAATCTCAACTCAGTGTAGGTTCTAGTTTTGTTCATAGACTGTGAGATGTTTTGCTGAAACACCAAAGTTTTGGGGATCAAGGACCCACAAAATGTGGATTCTGTCTACACAGTGTATTAGAAAAAGTCATTTACTACTTAGAGGGGGAAGAATTATCCATTTTTTTTCCGTATCAGACCCAGAAAATGAGTTTCTTTTTCTCAAAAAATCTTCATTTTTGCTGCAGCATTGCATAACTTTCTAGTCTACATAGTAGGAAAAAAACAACAACAAAAGAGCAGCTAATGTAACAGTGTTGTTTAGGAATAATTTACTATAGTATTAATGAGTTAATACTGAACAGTGTACACCCAAACAAAATTACTGCTGTGGCCAACATTTATATCTACTGCTGGCTCTGACCTGACCGGGTCATCTTAGTGTTCTAGTATGGCAGATTTTTGACACAACCTAGAGTGCTCCCAATTCAGTTGCTGTCTGGAGGAAAATTCTAGGAACCAGTTGTTCTGGTCAGTATTTTTTTGTGGTTTCTTCCATAGTTGCCAGGGAAAATGCGAAAGCAGTGCCTAATAAATATGGCCCATGCACTGCGCCACAACTTTCTTCCTCATCCTTTTCTTTCCTCTTTCCTTTTACTCAGACTTACACTTTCTTGCTTTTACACTATCACATATTGCTGGAAACTTAAGAGAGGTATATGGATGAGCACAACACCACCTCCATGGATATAATGTCGCACTACATTTCAGGGCTATGCAAAGGAGTAGACTTGCTTGGAAATAAAATAAATCAATCAGTGAATCACATTCACAGAGCAAATAATTCACCGATCAATGAGTGAGGTTAGAATGTGTTTTTGAGATGTCTGGTGTGTATCCTGCTTAAGGGGAGGTAGTTTCTATGTGGTTCATGTGTGAGATACATGTTCGCATACATGGGAAGCCTGATGAATGCGCATTGTGCTTAGCAGGGTAGAACAGTTCATGGCAGAGGAAGGCTTGATGTTTGAAAGAGATATCTGGTGTCTGGTGTCATTTAAATTGTCTAGATTGTAATGTGTCTTATTGGATTTCTTTAATTCAGCTGACAGCAATGCTGTTCCTGGCCGCTACATTTTTCGCTCTCGAGTGACTGATGACCAAGGGCTCCTTTGACGAGGACACAGTGTCATCATAGTGAAGGCAGACCACACCTAATGGATTCGTTGAGCTGGTTTTTGAACGTGGAGCGCAGAGGTTGTCCAAGGCCTAAGAAGACTCGCTAGAAGCAACTCTCTCTTTTACTGAGGGAGGAGGCGATTATCCACGTGAGGGAGAATGCGCATTGAAAGACCAACTGGCCGAGCTGTGATTGTTTTCTACGTGGAAGCTCGTGACACTCACCATATTGCCAGGCCTGCGTTGTTGCACGTCTGAAGGAAAAAGCTGACTCGAGATTCAGGTCTCTGGAATGTCTGTTGCTAGCAATCAGACTGCAGTGTGCCAGAACAACTGTTCAGGTTTGTTTTGGATCATGTTTTTTTTTATATTTTGTGTTATTATTTATGTTTATTTTGAATTTTTTAAAATATGTTAATTGTTGTTGTTGATTGTGATATGTTGAATGACTCATGTATTTCAAGCCCAATAAGCAACTGATGTATCCATGTTCTACATTACATTCTTAACTTATCAGATAGCACTCTTTCCAAATGTATCTTCACATGATTCACGTGGTGACAACGTGGCAAATTAATAGAAACCCATAATGTACTAAATACGATATCAAATTCTTCATGGCTTGGGACACAATTTAAACCAGTTATGGATTCCAGCTAAATGACATTTCGGGCTAAGCTGATGAAGAGAACGAAAACTAGGCCATGACACATTTCATTGTGACGGTTGAATTGTGAGCCAATAGAATGCTCTCCCAGCAGATTGTTTGTGAAAATAACTTTAGTATCTTTCACATCCTGTCTAGATAATTATTATGAAACAAATTGAGTTTCTAGTGCAGTATGTACAATTAGATGTCAACAATTTTGTTTGTGATATGTTCGTGATCAGCTTGTTGCTGCTTCCATATACATACAGCAAATTAAATAAAAATATTTGATATAGATATATTAATATATTCTTGGATGTATTCTGGGAATCCACTGCAAATTTGTTAGGCATTCAAACTGATATTTTTTTAATGGACCGGCAAAAAGAATCTCAAACAAATGGCATGAAAATGAAAAACGTAAATGTTGATAGAAGTACATCCAGCCACAGAAAAGGATTCAAAAATATAATTTTTTTTAGCAAAACTTCCTAATCTGGGAACTTGCTGCTGTCTCCCACATTACCATCTACAAATTTAGCAGTCACAATTCGATCACATGAACATTAAACAATCG